GGATTTCCATTTGAAAAAAAATGATTTATGATAATTTTTTAATCGCTCAATTCCATGACAGCTGCGGCAATTATTATATGACATTAGGACAATTTAATTTTTGACATAGATAGCCACATGTCTTCTCTTGGTACAGTGGCTGTGGCAATCACTAAATTTGACATTTAGGCTATATACCCATGGCTGGGAAACTTAAATGGAAATGACAGTTCATTAAAAATAGTTTTTCCTCCAAGATGCAGAGGCGCAAATTATTAAAACTGTCAATATTAACAATGTAAATGTCAATATCTGACAATAATAAAATTTGATTTTTAACTGTCACTCAGAGTCGCTTTTGTTGTGATTTTACGGTTTGATTTCGTTTTGATTTGTCGAATTATTGTAAAATTAAATTCCTTCAGATTTTTTGCCAGTATTCTGTTTTAGACAATGTTTTTTAAAAATGGTGGGACAATTTGTGTTTTGTAATAACTCTTAATTATTTTTTATCATGGAGTTTAATTGTTGTACTCCTGGTTTCCGAAGGATACAATGGTAAGTAAATTAAACATATCTACTTACAGTTATAGATTTTTTAAATTAGTACTGCTAATAAATGCTACTTGCAGAGCAGTTATTTAAATTTTTTTACGGTGCATGTAAGGAATTAAGGACGCGCGTTTTATATTAGCATGATCAGCAGATGATTACATCTGATTTAATTTGTTTTTATTATTTCAGGTCCCAAACAGAAACAAACTGGGAATCTTGCCTACACCAAAATTATATACCTAGCCGTTTCCAATTCACTTCAAAGGGAGGAAAATTATGTAAAACTGCCTGCTATTTGCTGAAAACCGCCAAAGATTAAATTATAACTGTAACAACTTAATATATACTATTTCTAGTATTTTTAATATATTTTTTAATTAATATCCGACATATAAGAACACTTTGTATGCTTTTAATTCAGTTGATTTATCGTTTATAATATGATCGACCTAATTAAAAGCACACAAAGTGTTCTTACATGTATGTCTAAATTTATTTTAAATTAACTAAAACAACCCCCCTTCCCCGCACCCCTCTCTTCCATTAGTATTTCTTCCTCCGTCTACCAGAGGCGCCCTTGTATAATAAAATTGAAATGTATTATAAGTTGCCTATCTATTTAATAGTATATCTTTTATCTATGCTATATACCGTATGATCGAAAAAAAACGGCGTCCAGTTGGCTGGGAAATGAACATCAACGACATTTCCCATATAAATTTACATATAAAATGACCGCGATCTTCATTCCATAGCCATCGCTGACGCCGTTTTTTCTCGATCATACGGTACATATTTTTAACTGGCAAATTTTTTTCCTCCAAAAATTATAAATATTTTTTTTTCTCAAAAACGGTTAACGTTAGGTATAGAGTGTTTAATATCAAAATTCATAAAATTTTACAGAGAATTTAAGTATGTAATAAAAAATGGGGTTACCCATTTAAAATAAGAAAGTTGCTGTCAACTTCCGGTACTTTCGAAAGTGCCGCCATAGTGAAAATATTTTTAGTCGATAGATCTCATTGTGACACAATGATATTGTTACGTTTTTCGTCGGTTCCGTGTGGATAGAAAGTCACAATTTATTTAAACACTATTTATTTAACACTAATTAACAAAAACAATAACGATAAAAGACTTATAGAACTATTTACAAACGATTTATAACTAAGAATTTATTTTGAATTTTAGCGCGTCAACTGTATATTTATAACTGCCCCCTGTAGGCCACAGCCGCCGGCTTTTATACCGACAGGTAAAGAAGTCTAGAATAGTCCATAGATCGTTAGGTGCGTAGAGAAGGTTTTCGAATGTTCTCGTATGTACTAGTCCATTCCAGTGGGACTCGATTCCTCTCGAACGAATGAATCATTACGGTGTCTATTCTTTAATGCGATGTTAAGGTCATCTGAGGGCGGGACATATAGTTAGGTTAGGTCGAGTTCACACGGGTCCGCAACAATATGCACAAAAGCTTCATGATATTGTAGTTCTCTAGAAACTTCTAACGCAGGCTCCGCCTGGGACACCCTCTATAAATGATTGAATTTTGTCAACCATTATTGTACGTCATTCAATTTTTACAAAATGTGCTTAGAAGTATATCATTATCTAAATAGACCGGGGCCACATTTAGATTTGCCGCCCCGGGCCCCCGACAGGCTTATTCCGCCACTGCATTTATCACATTCACATGGTATTATGTACATATATTACATTTTTTGTTTGTTGTGCAGTGTTGATTGGTTTAGTGTGGGTTAAAATAAATCTTAGTGTATACAGGGTCCGGCAATAGTGCGTCGGGCATCTGTAGCTCCTAGAATAAAAAACTTGGGAATTTTGTTTAAGTGCAAACCTAAAGTATGTACTAGGATGTATTTCAGGATAATATTTTAACTTCTATAGGGTGGCTCAAAAAAGTATGAGTGGATCGGGATGATTTTTTTTAAATGGAACACCCTGTATATTATTGCATTTTTGACTTCCTTTTAGATCACTTTACATAATCCTAAGACATGAGTAGTTATATTTCGATCATTTCTGAGATATTAATAAATAAATAAAGATTATATGTTTTTCAGCCTTTCTTAAAAAAATTATTAATAATACAAGAACTGTCCTGAAATCAAAACTATATTAGATATATTTACTTTAGATGGTCTGTACTTACTTTGCTATAAATATGGAAATCGTAAATCATACAGGATGTTCAAAATTCTACGCCAAACTTTCTAAAATATAAAATAATTTTTCTTTGTTTTTTTTAATGGAACACTTTGTATATTATTTTTTCGATAGATGGAGAATTAAAAAATTATTATTTTTTGCATTTAGAGTACTTCAAAATCTTTAACGGTTTTGCAGATATTCCCGGTTTTGTTTTTCATATGGCATTTTCCACAGTAAATTTTTATCAAAGCCACCCAATGATTTTTCTCTCGTATTTTACTATTGAAAGCGCCATATGAAATAATACTGCGTGTATCCGGAAAACTATTAAAAATTTTGAAATACGTTAAGTACAAAAAATATTCATTTTTTAATTCTCCATCAAATAAAAAAATAATATACAGGGTGTTTCATTTAAAAAAATCAAGAAAAATTATTTTATATTTTTGAAAGTTTGGCGTAAAATATTGAACATCCTGTATGATTTACGATTACCATATTTATATAATAAGGTAAGAACAAACCATCTAAAGTAAATATTTAATATAGTTTTAATTTCAGAACAGTTCTTGTATTTTTAATATTTTTTTAAGAAGGGTTCAAAAATATATATTTTTGATTTATTTTTGAATATCTCTGAAACTATTGAAATAGATTTACTCATATCTTAGAATTATGTAAAATGATATGAAAGGAAGCCAAAAATGCAAAAATATACAGGGGGTTCCATTTAAAAAAAATCATCCAGATCCACTCACACTTTTTTGAGCCACCCTATAGAAGTTAAAATATTTTCCGGAAATACATCCTGGTACATACTTTAGGTCTGCACTTAAACAAAATTCTCATGTTTTTTATTCTAGGAGCTACAGATGCCCGACGCACTATTGCCGGACCCTGTATTTTGTGTTTTGAAGGAGATTCGTATGTTATATTGTTTTTTTTTATAAAAGTCTAATGAGTATTAGACTTTTTTGAAGAGATGAATCGGTCACAGAGGTATAGACCTTTTTAAAATTTATTTATTTATTTATTCGTGTCCAACTCAGAATAAAAAAATTCCAGAAATACAAAAAATATAGAAGTGTAAGATGCAACAAAAAATATCAAAAAATATAAAACGACTCAAATTAAAAAAGGGCACACATTTAAAAAAGAACAGTCAAAAAATCAACATAAATAGACATTGGACAATATAGACAAGCAAACATATATGCACGTAGGCAGTTATACCAGGTGCGTCTCGAAAGTGGCTCACCCCCTATAACTTTTTTATTTTTTCAGATAAAAAAAACGAGATTTAGTATGTGTGTATATAACATAAATTAGGATTGATTGATTGTATTCAATTGTTTTCGATCACTTCCTGTTTCACCGGAAATTACTACAACTTTTGATTTTTAAATTGCACCCTCGGTATTTTTTTACTTTATTCGATAGAAAATGACATTCTGAATAGAATAACATATCATAGTCAACTTTTGACATTCCCCCTTATTAAAAAATCGTATTTTAAAAATCAATCTAGAGTGCCATGTCTATGTTAAAAAAACTAATTTTTAATCAAGGAGCCTTGGAAAAATAGATTTGATCGTCTAATGTTTTTAGTGTCTTGTCCTGGCCAGTTAGAAAATGCTCAAAACGTATTTTTAATCATATCTCAATTTTTTTTAAATGATTATTTCATATTTGGAAAAGCATTTTTTTTACGAATAATTTGATACCACACAGTATTTCGAGTCAAATTATCGTTATGAACCATGTTATAATTTCAAATAAACCATATGCTAAAATATCAAAAGTTGACATATGATATGTCATTCTATTTAGAGTATGATTTTCTATCGAATGAAGTAATAAAATACCCAAGATGCCATTTAAAAATCAAAAGTTGTAATCATTTCCTGTGAAACAGGAAGTGTTTCAAAAACAATTAAATACGTCAATCAATCCTAATTTATGTCATATACTAACATGTCAAATCTCGTTTTTTTAACTGATAAAATAAAAAAGTTATAGGGGTGAGCTACTTTTGAGACGCACCCGGTATACAGGATATCCATTACTTGGTACACCCTAGAGCGTTGCTATTTCCCTCCGCCAAATCACTCTGATTACATAATATATTGGGAAAATTTGGGCATACGAGAAGATGCCTCATAGTTTGTTCCCTCTCCGTATCGTAATCAACTAAATTATTGTAGTTACCCAGTTCGCCGGTTTTTAGGGGAACTTTTACAGGAATTTGAAATAGGACACCAATTGACAAAGTTGCTTTTATTATTAAACACGGTTTAATTGTAATATTTTTCTAACAAATTAACAAAAAAATAAATAGTTTAAATAAATATAGTGCTTTATCACAATTGTAATAATGCATCAGTTTACAACACCGGTATATTAAAATATTACTTTTAAAGTATAATAGTTATTAGATTAGCCAGTCCATTTTCATTACAACATCGGATTCAAATGAGAGAGTGGTAATTATGTGTATGTATAATAAACATTAGATATTAAAATGATTATTTATAGATGAATGTAATATGGCCTTTATTTATTATAATAAATTATGATTGATGATGTACTAAATTATTAATTCTGTAATAGATATCTATTTCCACGAATACAGAGACAAAAAATATACTTTGCATTCTGGAGTAAAAAGGAAATTAAACTATTTTTTCAAAATGCATTTTATAAAATGAACTGGTTAACTTACAATGGCAATTATTTATGAGTAAGGATTATTTTAAATGTTTTTCTTTATATTCCATAAAAGTAAAAAGAGTATAAAGAGTACAATTATACGCCGTAATACTACTCAAAAGTGGATCTATTTGTGAGATATACTTGGAAGTGGTAGCCATTCCTTTATTTCTACGGGCGTCCAAACTTTCTTCCAAATTGGTACGTAAATCTGTAAAAAATCACAATTAGTATATTTACATAATGTAAACATTTTAAAAATAGAAAAAGTTTATATCGTTCAATGAATCATATAAACTTATAAATTATATAATCCGAGAAAAAAATCAGTGCCAAAATTTGTACACTGAAATACCGTTTTTGGAAAAAATCCCCAAAAATCTCTAAAATTCCCCGAAATATCCCAAAAGTTTCCAAATTCTTTCAAAATACCCCTAAATTCCTCTAAATTCCCCAAAATTCACTAGAAATTCACTGAAATATCCTCGAAATTCCCCGAAATTCACTCGAAATACCGCGACATTCCCCAAAATGTCCCTAAATTTTCCGAAATACCTTAAAATTCCTCTGCAATTTCCTGCGTTTGTACAATAAAATACCACAGTGATATTCCCCCCGATATAATCGGGTCCGTTACAGTAGCCCCCCGGTTCTCCAAACTCTTTAATATTTTAGCACTGTATTGCACCCACCTAGCACTACCTAGCACCCTACTTACAGAGCTAGCACCACAACCCCTAGCGAGTTACAGGACATTTTACCGGGAGGGGCTAATGTAACGCTAGCCCCCCCCCCCCTGTTGAATATTTCCCTTAAAACTTTAGCACTGTATTGCACCCACCTAGCACTACCTAGCACCCAATTTACAGAGCTAGCACTACACTCCCAGAAGAGTTATAGCATATTTTCACCTGGCGCACAGTGGGGCGGATGGCAATTCTAGTGGTACAAAACATCGGGTCCGTTACAGTAGCCCCCCCCCCCGGTTCTCCAAACTCGTTAATATTTTAGCACTGTATTGCACCCACCTAGCACTACCTAGCACCCTACTTACAGAGCTAGCACCACAACCCCTAGCGAGTTACAGGACATTTTTACCGGGAGGGGCTAATGTAACGCTAGCCCCCCGGTTGAATATTTCCCTTAAAACTTTAGCACTCTATTGCACCCACCTAGCACTACCTAGCACCCAATTTGCAGAGCTAGCACATCACCCCCAAAAGAGTTATAGTGTATTTATTATTTCGCTTTATTTTTATTTCCATTAAAACTTTAGCACTGTATTGCACCCACCTAGCACTATCTAGCACCTAACTTACAGAGCTAGCACCACACCCCCAGAAGAGTTATAGGTAGTTATAGCCCATGCACCGCCTAAAATTTTTTAATTAGAATATTTTTGGACGGTGGCCATAGTTAAGTCTGTGGTTATAGCATATTTTCACCTTGCGCACAGTGCGGCGGACGGTAATTCTAACGGGACAAAACCGTTTTGTTAGAAATAAGCCAAAAAATGTGTACTGATGAATTAATAGTAGGCATTCCAATAGATATAAAAATGCATCAATTGTTTTTTGGTTATATATATTCTTTGTATGTATTTCGATACATTTTTATCAACTAAAGGTCGTTTTCTGCTCAGCAAGGCAGAGGATATACGAAAACAAAATATTTACAAGTGCTTATACATTCTATTCCAAAACCAAATTATGTTATTTACTTTTATACTACACGTATATTATTCGTTAAAATATTTCGTGCTTTTGTTCTGCAGATATCAAACTTTCACTTGTTTTTATCAAATATCGATATATTGAATGATGTAGATCTTTTGAGTAACCAATAGTTACCAAAAAGTAGTAAGCAATTTTGATGCTAGAATATTTGTAGTTTCCATGCCGATATTTATTTGTACCGGGCGTTGCCAAATTGTTGAAAAAAAAAACATAATTTTTAGGAGTCTCTCACCGATTCACCGGATAGGTTAGATTGAAGTTAGCTGCCAAGAATTTTCTGAAGGTGTGGACGCTTAAAAGTTTAATTTCAATCGGCTAGTATAAACACGAAACAAAGACTCGTTAAAGGGTTAATAGAGGACCTTTCAAAAGAAGATTGGGTTTTGCAAGTACTGTGAGCTTTAGATCTAGTGGGAGTAGGGATGCTGTTGTAATAATTGTTGAAAACTCTGAAACTCTCGCAAAAGGCACTGAGTTCAAAAAATCAATGAATGACACCAATAGTCAGTTCGGCAATTTTCCTCAAGACAAAAACACCCACATGATGTTCTAGTTAAACAAAACATGATGATATGCAAAAGCCTTTTTTAAATTTCTTATAACTTCTAATAAAATTAAATGATTTATTAGTTTTAATAAAAGTTTAAACTATTGTCTTAGATCCTTACTATATATATATATATATAAATTAAAATTAAACATCTATTTTATTTATTTTTTAATAAAATAATATTTTTTAAAATAAAATATACAGGGTGTAACAAGATTACAAAGTAATTAAGAAATAACTGTTAAATAGAGTTTTTTGTAAGTGTTTCACCTGATATAATTTTATTTATTTGGCAATAGTTTACAGTACGGTTTTTGTGTCATATATATTATAACAGTTTTATGCCCATTAGTTTTATTATCTCGTATTACAAGATAATAAAGTCCCAAACATCACTGATGTTTTGTCCCACTAGAATTACCATCCGCCCCACTGTGCGCCAGGTGAAAATATGCTATAACTCTTCTGGGAGTGTAGTGCTAGCTCTGCAAATTGGGTGCTAGGTAGTGCTAGGTGGGTGTAATAGAGTGCTAAAGTTTTAAGGCAAATATTCAACCGAGGGGGGGGGGCTAGCGTTACATTAGCCCCCCCCCGGTAAAAATGACCTGTAACTCGCTAGGAGTTGTGGTGCTAGCTCTGTAAGTTGGGTGCTAGGTAGTGCTAGGTGAGTGCAATACAGTGCTAAAGTTTTAAGGGAAATATTCAACCGGGGGGGCTTACTGTAACGGACCCAAGTCGTGAAGGCTCGGTAGGCTTAGAAGTTAAGGGGATATTCCCGATATTTCATAAGGAGATATATCACATTTCGTTAAGGGGATATTTCATATGACTCATTATACGTAGTATGAAAATTCAAAAAACGTTTACAGCAAATTGGAAAAAATTTTCGGGCCTTGTCCGAGAATATTAGAAATGATGTAACCCGTTGTATTTCAGAACACGCCACAGAAATAAAATAATCTGAAATAAAAAAGCGCGTTATTTATTCGGTGCAAGAAGATGATACAACAGATATTACAGAAAAGTCTCTGTGCTATTTCAATTCGATATGTTAATAAAAGCGGCTAAGTCAAATATCTTTGTGAATTTTATTTTATGAAATATTAGATAATATTGTTATACATATTTAGAAATAAGGTTTGCAGATAGGTACTCGTATGTCTCAATTATTTTTCTTTATCTCTTGCGGATCCGAAATTTAAAGAATCCTATAAAAAAATTCCAACGCATTTAACATCTGATTTAACAAACTTGTTATATTGATACATTTCCAACGCATTTAATAGTGATTTAACAAACAAAAAATGTTATTGACCAACGTAAATTGATGAATAAATTACAGGTATTAATAATTGATATGATAATTTCGATTTTAAAATTTAAGGAGAATAATCCTGGAAATATATTTCTAGAAAAAAAATTGTTTGTTTTGTTTGTTACTACACCATTTACAAGTACTTGGGTTGAGATACATTTTTCATGTTTGAAATGCATTAAAATTTATAGTAGAGATTTCATGAAAAATAAACGTTTATCGCCACTTGGCCTTACTTTCAATCTAAAAAGATCTTTTCACAGCTCTTCAACAATCTGATGATTTTGCTGTTATAATAATAAATACATTTTCTTTATTAAGAGATCGACTCATCAATTTAATATATAAAACATATAATTATTCTTTCTCTCAATACTACCAATTTTTAAGTTTGCGTAAATAAATAAAAATAAAATAAAATTATATGATGTACTCCATAGTGACTCCATAGTAATAGGTAAAAAAAATAATAGATAAAATAGATTAATAAAAAATCTTCTCTCTCAAATTTTTGACCGACCTTTTTTATATGCCATTCTTTTACCCAGTGAGATTTCCATTCTGTTCTTGTTTTCCATAATCTACCAAAATCGTCACTGTGAATTGGTGAAGAACTGGTTGAATACTTGCTGAAATATAAATATTGAGTCTGTTAAAATATTATGGATGCTATAAAGAAAATATTAATAGCAATTTGAGATTGTTTTACTATAATTTAAAAAATATATATTTTGAAAATAACTACTACTAAACGTGAATAACTATTAATGTCACAGTGGAAAAAAATAGTTAATTTTTTTTATATAAAATATAAAAAATTTGGAGGTAATAAAACTACCAGATAGAGGTGAAAAACTTCTAAAAAATAGTATTAATTCTCAAGAGTATTTAGAAGTCAATTAAAACCAATCAACGAGACAGCCTAAATCTTAGAAGAAAATAACGCCTCAGTAATATATTCTATTTTACAGTTGTGATTTTAACATCTTAAAATAAAAAGTAATATACATATTTAAGTCTTTTAAATGGTTTGTTGTTGCCTGTATCAATTAATTTACAATTAAACGCAACTTATATGGCTACAACTACATTTTAAACTACATTATTTTATATTCAGCTTATTTTTACTTGTATTAGTTTGTTGTTATTTCGTTTTTCTAAAATATACAGGGTGGTCCGAATTGTATTCCGGAAACTTCGGCAGCATATTCTGCAGATAAAATATATAAGTAAAAAAGTTCGTATAAAATGTAGGCCCTAAAATGCTTAGTTTCAGAGATACAGTGTGTAGAAGTTTCATTTTTATTTCGATTTTTTCCAAATAAATTCTGATGTAACGTCAATATTTGGATGAAAATTGGTGTCTGAGAGTTTTTTGACATGAGAAATTTGATTTTGATGTCAATATGACTCCTACTAATAGAGGGCGCCACCTACATGTGTTTTAACTGTTTTGAAGAGTAATAACTTTTGTCCGTACTTGTATAAAACTACCGAGCGAAAAAATATACATTTCTGTGACTTTTTACGTAAAAAATATCTCTTTGTAAAAAAATGATGATAAAACAGTTTCTGTTGAACTTTTAGCACAAAAACATTTCAAATTTATGATTTCAGTCTAATAACTATTTAGTCAACATATATGTTGAATTTATGTCAATGATGACCGGTATTGATAATTTCGATTTCAAATATCTCGAGAAGCATTACTTGTAGCGATTTTTACCAAGAGACCTTTTAACATTGAAAATGTTTCTGTTATCCTATATAAGGGAGCCCAAATCGAATTAAAATGCTACATTTGCCACACCATGACGTCATATATACAAGGGTATAGGAAATCTCGGCGCAGCGGCGGCAGTCGGCCAGCGCGCGCAAAAGCCATTACATAGCTAATTGTTTTTTGATATATCTTTATTAGTTTAAAAGCAAAAAATATGGGGTTTGCTTTGATACCTTGTCAAGACATAAGCGAAACTTTTAAATTGTTTCTTTTTTTCATTTCTTTTTTTCATTTAAGCCTTCGTTTTTCGTTAAATGAAAGTTATATTAAAAAAAGTCTATTTTTAAACCAAATTTTCGCATGATTGAAATGAGTTATTCATGTTTAAAGTTTTTTTTGGTCATAAGCGCTAATGGAAATGTTTTTTTGTAAATAATTATAAAAAAATACTCCCTACGAAGACTTTATTGTGTACTGGATCAAAAAATAAGTATATGTTTTCTCTATACGGTGGTATTAATATATCGATTTTTGATGATAGTGCCCTTTTACCTGGTCTAATTTTGTACTACCTTCGGAAAGGGGTCCCCATATTATATACTGTACTTCCATCCCTGAAAAATTCAGCTTGTGACACCGAAGTGAGAGGTAAAGTCAAAATAAGCTTTAATCTACCTACATCATAGGTAGGTATAGGTACTCTAGGTATATGCTACCTAGACAGTAGCTGACAGTAGTAATTAATTTGTTATCCGATAAGTAGTTGTCATTATATAAGTTTAATCATCTTATACCTCCTAATCGGTCATGTGGCGAGAACATCTAAAGACAGGTGGACTAGAAGATTGTTAGAATGGCGACCTCGAGCAGACAAACGTAGCAGAGACAGACCACCGACACGCTGGACCGATGATGTAAAGAGGATTGCTAGAAATTGGATGATGACGGCCCAAAATCGAGAGACATGGAGAAATATGGAGGAGGCCTACGTTCAGCAGTGGACAACGATGGCTACATGACGATGATGATGATCTCCTATAACGGTAGGTTTTGGATTTTTCCCTGATTGGTTTGTTAAACAAAAATATACTGGGCATATAAATGTACACCAAACCAAACCAAACACATACATATGTATTGAATGTACTTATTTAAACCAATGCATTGTTTTGTTTTTTTTTTAATCTCACAAATAAGAAATGTTTTATGGTTTTTACTATAAAAAACAGGGATTATACAATTTACTTACACCCCTTACACTGTTTTCTGTAAGGGGTGTAACCAAGAGTATATTTCGTAACCTCTTACGATATAAGTGGGCACAAAGTGTTTTATTACTTAATGCTTAGATTAAAATTTAATAATATATTTGTACGTAAAATAAAATAGACTATAGAAAGTCAATTAATTAATATTGACGTAATTACTAAATAAGTACAAGATTTTATTTCTAATTATTTTAGTGTATTTTTAGTCACCTAATTATAAAGGAGAGATATCCAACCATTGCATTATTTTACTCACAAATAAATGTTTTATGGTTTTCATTATAAAACAAGGATTAATTTATTATACACCCCTTAACCCAAACAGTCCAAGGAGGATATTTCGTGACCCCTTATTTAAAGTGGACAAGCTTTATTAGTCAATGTTTTAATTACCCAGCGTCTTTAATAAAAATCTAATGTAATTTTTCATAGAAATGATATGACATAAAAAGCAAATTTTATCAAAAAACTTTTTGATTATCTACAAGGAGTAAACCGCTGACAAATGTCTGTATACTAATGCCAAAGTAATGCCAAAAATACAAATTAAATACCAAAATTTCTCATATAATGCGCCACTAATGCCAAGCTGATTCCAATATAATACCACTAATACCACAAATAATATGTAACACATTTGTTTAACGAATTAACCTGTAACAACGTGCACATATTTTTTCCTAGGTAACTTAAAAGTTGTTAAAAAGTCTAATTATATTTAAAGAAGATATAATTCCAACTAATTGCATTATAAGGCCAATAATGCACAAGTAATACCATTAAAATTTTAGCGTTTTAAATTTGTGTAACATATTTCTTTAACGAATTAACCTGTAACAATAGTGGTAGGTACGCGCACAGGTTTTTTCGCTAGGTAACTTATTAAGTATTTAAACAGGCCTACATAGGTAACTAATATTTATAATTTAATTCGAGTTTTAATCTCAAACAAAAAATGTTTTTACTGGTGTATTTCTGAAGTGTTCATTATTAAAAGTAGATATTCTTCAAGTTATTGAAGTAATAAGTAATGTTTCTGGTGAGACCGCGTATATGTCACCGGATTCTGGTTAGTATAAAAACTTTTTTCTATAGAAAGAGTTTTTTCTATATTTTCCTTTCAAAATAAGACTAATTTCTTCTTATTCTTTTAAATATTACAGTGTTTCTTTTTCCTAAAATGTTATACTTAATTTTCGCTTAAAATTAAAAAATCACAAATGGAGGAAAATATACGTTATTAAATAAAGTTTATATAGAAATCACTTTACCATAACAAAAAAGTAAAAACATGTCATGGCGGAAGATATTCAGGTGGCATTTCACACATTTATCTATTAAAATCGAGATTAAAATAATAAACTTGCGTAACATGTTATACATGAGATAGAAAGTTTCAGAATCGATTAATACGCAATACGCTACGCAGTCAACTTGTTCCTATGCGCGGATGAGCGTCTTCAAGACTCTTCCATCGGCCAGGGTCACGAATAGGAATCGGCCTACGTTTGGCTAAACAGGTTGGACACGGTGGACTACGATATTGGCGAGACTGAATATTTATAAAAATTTGCAAAGTAAAATATGTTGGAAAAATAATTAATCCATACATATATAAAAGCTCAAAGGGTTTTTTTTGCATCCATCCCGCCGAAACCGCTTCGCCAATCTTGATGATTCTTTTTTTAATTGAAAGGTACACATATATGTGTAGATTTGTTATGAAGTATTTTTTATAGTGCTTAATGGCTATTCCTTTGTGTAAAGGGACTAAATACTAAAACATACCTAATAGAAGATTATTTTCTTTTATCTATGAACATACCTGAAAAACACCTACACACAATACATCCAGAAATAAATTATTTGTCATTGTCAGTGGTGTGTCCGTTAGATTATATATTAAGTTTTTAGATATTTTAGGAGTGAGTTCATACCGCCAGCTTTAGATACATAAATATTAGCACAAAGGTTCGTTTAAACGACATTAGTGAATTAGCTACACAAAGCGATTTTAGGAAATTCATCCTCTTAGAGAGTAAAATTATGTCGGAACAGTTTGTTCTATGAAAATTCCTTACTATTTGGTCTAGAAGAATGAAATCCTACAAAAAAGAATTAGAAGAATTTTTTTAAATTCATCAACCAAATGGGTAAAGTTAGTAAAAATTTATATAAAACTTGGTGACCTCTGGATTGTACACATAAAAATTGGCACAAAGATAAAGCGAATTTATGAAATTTATACCCTTAGGGAGTAGAATAGGGAATGAAAGTTTGCTGTACGAAAATGCAATACTATAACATTATAAACCAGACAGTATAAAATTTTATACAAGGGTTTATTTAGTGACATCATAACGAAATATATCTTCCTTAATTGTTCTTCAAAGAATAAAAAATAACATATAAAGAGAGTATTAGTGCTCTTAATAAATAAAAAAAAGATGAAAAATAAAAATCATATATGCTCACTAGCTCTCTATAAAGAAGTAAAAAATCATTTAAATCAATGCATGAACGATTCGAGGTGTACCGCGAACGTAGTCGCGGGAAAAAGCTAGTAGTTTATTAATTAATTTTCATTGATTCATTGAACTGATTAATTTTCATTGAAAAGGAATTTTTGTAATTCGCCACTCCCAAGCAGCATTTGGACGTCGGGACAACGTTGTGTCACGCGACCAAACGTCGGGGCGCAACATCGGCACAACCTCGTGCCAACCCTAGTCTGCACTAGTTTGGAGAATAATTTTTGGGTCGAAACGACGTTGGATACCGACGTTGGCTAGCAGCCTAATTTAGTACAAACTGCAACGTTGTTTAAAATCCTAATTCACAGAAGTACAAACTAATATGGCGTCTAAGTCGCGTTTCATCCTAAATTGGGATAATTATAGTAAAAATATTATTTTTATGATTTAGTTAGAGACATATGTCAGATGGCAGTGAAGGAAAACAAAACAAAAGTATTTAAGTGTGGAGGATGTTTGAAGATCATAATTATTGAAACACTTTAACCGACTCTGTAACTCGTTACCCAAGGCAAAAAAAGTTAAACGCAAACAACTTTATTGATAAATGTTTTGTTTCTACTTTGAAAAATACTAATGGGCCTTAAAATTAAAGAAGTTTTAAAAATTTTCTTGAATTTTTTTTTTTAGTAAAATGAGAATAATTTATTCGCAGTCGAAAAATTGTTTCCGCGTGTTTTTTAGTGTCAAATATTTCAAGTTAATGTATTCAAAAGCAGGAATTGCTATTTTAGGAACGAAACATTTTCTTATTTAACAACATGGCGGCTTTCACTTTGTTGTTTTGGAGATTAAGATGGAGTAGTTCAAGTAGTCGCATACTGGACTAATAAAGTCGCAGTTCGGCCTTAACAGGTAGTATACTAGTCGCAAGATTGCCTAATTTAGTCATCCTAGAGTCTAGCTTGTGCCGCCCTCTATAATATAAATAAACGAGGGAGTGGATAAACTATCGGTAATATATGTTGATGTATATTTAAATTTAGTTTTATATGTACCTTTCTTATGTCCCATTTTAATTAAATTTTTTTTTATAAAAACAAACAGCACTGAACTGTCTGACCAAACAGAACAATGAAGTGAAAATTTAAAATTTAAGGTTACGGTTCAATACAGTTGCAAAAAGGTAGTGACTCGACGTCCTACCAACGTAAGAATAAGGAAATCTAAACAACGTTGGAATTAGTAAAACAGACGACGTTTGCATAACGTTGGAATAGGTCCTGAAACTGACGTCGGAAAACTCTATATTGTCCAACGTTGTAACTACGTTGTCCGAATCACCTAAAGATCACTTAAGCAAAAAAGGTTACAAGACAACGTTTATTCGACGTCGCAGAAGCTTCTACTTTGCTGTAGTACTAGTCCAACGTCGGCATAACGTTATAAAAACGTTTAAATTTATTTTAATACCCAAGGTAGGGAGCTAACTATTTTTTGTAACTAATCCAACGTTGTGTTTAGTAAACATGTGGTCGCAAGTCGTGAAAATGCTACTTGGGCTATATTACTTAAAAACTAAGAAACTCATATCAAATTTAAGTTTTGCGATTTTCACTTATACTTTTTACAAAATCTGAACACATTTTAAAAGAAAAAAAGTTTTTGATAAATATTATCAAAAACTTTTTTCTTGTGTGTAAATTGACTACAAGTTGTATAACAACGACCGGTCTACCTAGTGGTCTGCAGCATCGCCTTGTGGTGCAAACGTGGGCCTGTTAATCTGTAACGTGACGCACAACAGCCAAGAAAAACAGATGCGTGGCTAAGAATTTAGTAATTTAAAAAAAATGTCTTTTAGATACAGTAGTAGGTATTAAAAAGTTTTGTGGTTTAAATGGGGTTTGCCTTTAACAGTTAAAAAATTATATCGTAAAGTGTAACTTTCCGTAAGAATTCTTTATCTGTCATCGATCATGATCTGTCATCATGTTAACCTGATGTTTTGTATGTTATTTTGTTTTTTTGCTTGTTTGTTTTAGGGATAGGTGCGATAGCATAATTTTTATTGATAATGTTTTATTTAATGTTAACATTACTACTTTTTCAGTGAATCTTTAAATCTGTTGTTTCCCCGGTTGCATCTTTGTAAAGGACTGTGAATTTTTTACGTAGAAAACGTCGTAAATGTTTGGTAATAAGCTTCCTATGCGCGGATGAGCGTCTATGCAGAGTGCATAGTTTGAAATTTTGAAAAAGTAATAAATTAAAAATATTTTGTACGCGTAAAAATAGTTTTTTACGTTCTTTTTACGTTTCATATAGAGACCAAATTTGTTTGCAAATTAAATTTAAATAAACATCTTAAAAAATTGTGAGTTTTTTGTCCCCTACCCCTCGTCAGAGATTTTACTTTGATATGTGCTCACACTGGGTTGGAGAATGTTTAGTTTTAAAAAAATGTTTATTTAAAATTACCCTCCCTAGATTTACATTTAAACCGCTCTGGCCCCTATAACTTTTTTATTTTTTCAAGTAGAAAAACAAGATTTGGTATGTTAGTATATCACATAAATTAGGAGTGATTTATGTATTCAATTCTTTTCCGTCGCTTCCTGTTTCACCGGAAATGACTACAGCTTTTGATTTTTAAATGGAACCCTGGGTATTTTTTTACTTTATTCGATAGACAATGACACTCTAAATATATTGACATATCATATGTCAACTTTTGATATTTTCGCTTGAAAAATCGTATTTTAGTTTCCAATCCTTTAGATGGGCTGTGTTAAAAACACAATTTTTTAATCAAGGAGCCTTGGAAAAATAGCTTTGATTATCTAATTTTTAATGTCTTGTCCTGGCCGGTTAAAAGATGCCCAAATCAAATTTTTAATCATACCTTATTTTTTCAAATTGAACGAGGGTGGCTCATTTGCATATTTGGAAACAGCAGTTTTTAGGAATAATTTGGTACCAAAAACTTGGTATTTCCAGTCAAGTTGTCCTTATGAACCGGTTGTTACAATTTCAAATAAACAATATGCGAAAATGTCAGTTAACGCACGAAATGGCATTCTATTCAGAGTGTCATTTTCTATCGAATAAAGTAAAAAAATACCGAGGGTGATGTGTTTTTTTTTATTAAAAATCCCGTTAAAAATCAAAAGTTGTAATCCTGTCCAGTGAAACAGGAAGTGACCGAAAACAATTGAATATACCGGTCAGTCCTAATTTATGTCATTTACTAACATACTAAATGTCGTTTTTTTTTATCTGACAAAATAAATAAGTTATAGTGGTGAGCCACTTTTGGGACGCACCCAGTATATAACTGCACATAATATATAGGTACAGAAAGAAGATACCATACCAAAATATGTTTTAAGCCGATCCTACACGATGCTTCCAACGTTGGACGCATCATTTGGCATAGGCTTCCACAATATTGCAATTCACAAGTGTGTCTCCTACACGATGTGGCAAATGTTCATGTGTTCATGTGTTTGCCACATCCTGTGGGACCGGCTTTAAAATATAATTTCGTTTTGATTGCTTACATTTGCAGCTAGATTATTCAGAAATCACTAATATTCCCATATTATGTTCTATTTTGTGTATACGCTTAGTTTATAATCTTATTTTAATTTCCTCACCTGGATTTAATATAACTACAAGATATCTCCTTGTATACCACAACAGCTAGGAAAAGCAAAACCTAAAACAACAAACACTTATTATAATTAAAACTATACACTTCCAATACACTCTCACATAAATTTTCATTTTTCAAAGTAACGTCTGCAAGTAAAGCAATTTTCACATGTCACATCATTAGAGAAGAAACAAATAAAGTGAGGTAAATAAACAAGCTAGGTTCAATTTATAGATAAAAGATATTTTGAAATTTGTATGGGATATATTCGACATTGAAAGTGTTCTCGATACTTTTGTGGGTCAAAAGTCTCATCAGTATGTTGAGCACAGGTTGACAATTCGAGTAAAATCTTCGTTGTGTATAATCATTAAATGTTGTTCATGTTCTGAATATGTAATAATTAAAAAGTGCAAAGCATGTAAAATATTATACATATTTATCAATGCGAACTTAGGGAAAGTGATTTCTAAATAATAAAGCTTCACAATTGGTTTTTGCTATTTACAAAAAAAAATTTTTAAGATATTATTTCTTGAAGCCTTCGATATAATACAGGGTGGCGCTTCTCATACGACGCGGAGGCTCCAAGGAGAACGACAGTTTGTATTCAAATGAAATTTTGTGAGCATATGTAGGTTAATGCTTGTGTACTTTTTAAAAATATAGAGAGTTCTACAGAGTATCCCCAAAAAAAATTACACATCAAATTTCTATTTTTTTTTTGTAATGGAACACTCTATATATTAATTAATTTTTAGATTCCAGGAAAAAAATAAAGATGAGCTTTATTAGGAAAATATATGATTGGAATGTAAAGTTTTTGACTTATTTAACATTGTCTAAAAATGAAGAACAATTTTGAAATTTCAATAAAAGCTACCTAAATTAGAATATACCCGGTATAGCCTAATATTTAGTTAAAATAACTATTGAAAAACCTGACCCAAAAAGTTATACAGGGTGAGGCAGAAATAATGTTGAAAATTGGTGACCATTAAAAACAAGGTACTACATTAGTTTAAATCACCCAGTATATTATTCCGATATTCAATGGGCAATTCATGTCTCCTCAAAACACTATTAAGGTTGCCTTCCCCTCAATCTAAGTTTTTTCTAGATATTTTTATTTTTATGATTTAGTGTGAGTAGATCTTTATTATTTGATAAAGTCTAGATGACTGTGATATGTCTGATGTTACTTCAATATAGATGTCTAATTAGTTTAGCTTTAGCAACTAGTTAACCATTTTGTGTCAGTTAAAACAAAAAAATTCTCAGAACTTTTCCGAAAATGGAAACCTATCCTACATCAGAGAGAACTGATATGATTCTATTAGTTGGTGAATATAGCGTGCATTCACCAATTACTAGAATACTTAAATGCTCCTGATTTTATCTAGTCTAGGCTTTTTTTTATAGGGATATATGTTAAAGACAGTGTTTACAAAACTCAATCCACTATTGTCGACAACATGAGAGAAATGATTGTAGCTGTTTTTCGAGGCAGAACTCCACATATTAGTTCAGTCATTGGGGATCAAAAAAGGGGCATGCTTGGAAAAAAGTCCGAAAGTTTTGAAACTTTGCAGGTTTATAGCTTTTGGGGTCCCTAACTAAAATCCATAAAATGCACATTTCCAGACTTGCCGCCGGCCCAAGATCGGTATTTTGTGAATATCTCGAAAACTATGCGTTTTTCTTGAAAATTTGAGGAGAGCAGAATTAAAGAGAATAAAATTTCCTATAAAAAAGGTTTTATGAAAATGACGCTAAAGTCAACCGTTTAGGCACAAAATCCCTAGAAATTTTCAATTTTCCGTAAAATATGATATATTATGTATAGTCGATTTTCCGAAATCAAATGTCGATGAGGGTTCACTAAAACTAGTTTTAGTTTAGTTTCTTCAATTTGGTCATGAAACAATGGCGTATCATTAATTCGCTCATTAATTTATGAATAATTTATTGTCATGCTGGACAGCATTCATTGCGAACTTACCACCAGGTTCAGCATTGGTCTGATTGTACCAAAGATGCCGAAGAATGGGGTTGGAAGAAAACAAAAACAGGCATTACTCCAGTCACAACGTTGAAAGATGCAGCTCCAAAATTCCTATTGGCATTTTTATCCTGTAAATGCAAAACCAACAACTATGGTAAAGCCTGCGGATGCAGAAAAATAGGATTAAAATGTTCAATGATTTGTGCATACTGCAATGGGAAATGTGACAAAGTCACTGAAGTGTCACTCGACAAATCCGATGAAGTGGAGCTGGACTTGCCTGTAGATATTCCTCTGGCGGCTGAAGATGAAGAGTTGGACATATTGAGAGACCATCCTGATGAACCCAGCACAGCAGACTCGATCGACTTTGACATCAATGAGCCAGATCCGTCAGGCTTGTGCAGATAAGTTAAAGTTTTTAATTTATCTAGTGGAGTAGGCCTCCGGGGAGACCACATTAAAATAAACTCGCCATATACTTTACCTCTTGGGTGATGTGGAAACAAGTACACATTTTCAATAATTAAAATTAATTATTCTTAAATTAATGGGCGAATGAATGATACGCCACTGTTTTATGACAAAATTGAAGAAACTAAACTAAAACTAGTTTTAGAGAACCCTAATCGACATTTGATTTCGGAAAATCGACTATACCTACATAATATATCATATTTTCCGCAAAATTGTAAAATTTCCAGGGATTTTGTGCCTAAACGGTTGACTTTAGCGAAAATTTTCATAAAACCTTTTTTATAGGAAATTTTATTCTCTTTGATTTTGCTCTCCTCAAATTTTCGCGAAAAACACATAGTTTTCGAGATAGTCACAAAATACCGATTTTGGACTCCATCTTGCCAAGATGGCGGCGCCGGCGACAAGTCTGGAAATGTGGGTTTTATGGATTTTAAGTTAGGGACCCCAAAGCCTATAAACCAGCAAAGTTGCAAAACTTCCGGACTTTTTTCCAAGCAAAGATCCCCAATGACTGAACTAACATGAAAATATGTTTTCTTTTGAAAAGAGAATCATTTTATGCAGTGAACAGGAAAGAAAGCATTTTGAGCAATTGATTTCGTCTAGCTAATTTTTGTCACATAATTATATATAATTATACGTTTATATCTAATTTGAATTCTGTAATAATTAAAATATGTGTTTTTGGTGTATCTTTTTATTACAGTACTCCACATCCTTTTATTTTTGTCAAATTAACAAAAGGTATGTCATAGCCACCTAGATTTTGTCAAATAATAAAGATCTTCTGACGCAAAATCATAAAAATTATAATATCTAGAAAAATCTTGGTCTAAGTGGTAGGCAATCTAATAGTATTTTGAAGATATATGAATTCTCCATTGAACAGGATTGAATAATATACTGGACGTTCCATTTAAAATAAAGGAGTACATTGCTTTTAAATACATACATACATATACATTGCTTTTAAAACTGACTAATGTTCAATATTAATTTTGTCTCGCCTTGTATAACTTTTCGGGTCAAATTTTAATTTGGTTTAACATATAATAGTTACAGTAATCAAATTTTAGGCTATCAGGGTAACTTACAATTTAGGTAGTTGTTTCTGAAATTGAAAATTTATTCTTCATTTTCACAAAATGTGAAATATGTAAAAATCATTACATTTTAGGCATATGCTTTTTTAATGAAACTCACCGTTATTTTTTTCCTAGAATCCGAAAATCAGTTAATATATAGGGTGTTCCATTACAAAAAAAGCAACTAAGATGCTTAACATTTTTTTGTGGACACCCTGTAGAACTCTATATATTTCTATAAAATCCTTTCAATTAACCTACATATGCTACCAAAATTTCATTTCGATATAAACTACCGTTCTCCTTGGAGCCTCCGCGTCGTATGAGAAGCACCACCCTGTATTTATACAGGGTATTTCAAAAAACATGTGCCATCTCCCGTGGAGAGATTCCTCACGTAAAAATAAGATTTAGTTTTCATATCAACATAAGTCCGATTCAGCTTTGTTTCGTAGCTACAGGGTCTTAATAATCTTTCGATTTATTATGCTTTTCTTCCAAGTACTTTAAGTGATTCGAATGAAATTTTGAGGGTAAAAGTTATTATAAGTGCTACATATTTTAATGCTAAAAAAGTGTCGATAAATTCATCAAGGACGTGCATATGGGTTATCACTGGAATGTTTTTCAAAAAAAACATGTACGCCACTGACTTTTTTCTTTTGGTATCAAAATTGTGTAGTTCGTTTAATGCCAATTAAACGTTTTCTCTTGATATTTTGTCGAATTCGGCCTCCTTGATGAGATAAACACAATTTTATTAATCACAATTAATAAAAATAAAATTAATAAATTAAATATTTTAGCTAACTTATTATTAAATATTATTACTATTAGTTATTACTACAATTACTCCAACATACAGCAATTTAAAATAAAAAATAATAGTATTTTTAGATAATTACAAAAATAAAATTCTAATTTTAAAATGTTTTAACATCCTGTAACTCTAAAACTATGCATTTCGATACCCGTGTTTATAGTAATTTTTTTCGTATTTTTTGATGAGAAATCGATGAGTACTTATTTAAAACTTTCGCAAGATAATGATGTTAAATTTTTTTAAAGGTTGCTATTAGACCTGGATCAAGGCAAATTGATAAAATTCCGTTAATCTCATCAAGGAGGCCGAAATCGACAACATATCAAGAGACAATTTTTAATCGGCATTAAATTGCTTACACTATTTCGCTAACAAGATAATAGAAAATCAGTGGCGTACATGCTTTTGTTAGAAAAATATTCCAGTGATAAACAATATACACGTCCCTGGTGAATATGTCGACATTTTTTTTACTTTAAAATATGGCGCATTTATAGTAACTTTTACCCTCAAAATTTCATTCGAAACGCTAAAAGTACTTGGAAGAAAATTATAATCAATCGAAAAAATATTAAGACTTTAACACCCTATAGCTACGAAACAAAGTGGAATCGGACGTATGTTGATATGAAAAATAAACCTTATTTTTACGTGAGGAATCTCCCCACGAGAGATGGCACATGTTTTTTGAAACACCCTGTATAATATGATTTTGTTTAGTACTTAATATATTATTCCATTGCATGTTTCTACGAATGTTGCTTTAAAAATGATTTTATGACACCCTGGATGCATCTTCTTGTGTCCTTTTTAATACTATAGAAAATTAAAAATCTCCCAAGATATTTCAAAATATGAAAAAAAAATAATTAGATAATATAAAAAACGTTTATTTATTCAGTATGCAAAACGTGTAATAAATTACCTTATCAACTATTATAAAGAAGCTTATGAGCTGCAATAAATAAATTGGATAAGAATTCGCGGTGCGTACGTTGGCGTTTTATCTTCGAAACTGAGTTGATCAATAAGTTAGTAGGAAAGGAGGGCGGTAGTGTCAGTATCGGTGTCAGCGCGCTCAACGTATAACATCGGGTTTTCTGGATAAAGCATATTCTTCCTGAAAAATATAACAATTTGCTTAAAATGTTTAAATTAGTAACCAAATATTTATAATAGAAAGTTAAGAAGTTAGTTTTATGTAATAAAAAAACAGAGTAAGTATGTAAATAACTAATTTATTCCTCTGCAATATTTTAACTTTTTATTTTTTATTATAAAATTTCAAGTTTATTGCCTACTAGTGATAATATGCTCTATAACTTGATATTACCAATACGTCATTTACCAACAAACTCAAACAAAGATTTAGGCATTTGATAAAAAAGATACATACTCCATTTATGATAATTTGTGACTATGAAGGGCAAAAATATCGTAAAGTGTCTATAACAAATCTTCATTTATTTTTTCTACTTTTAGTTTTTAAGGTGGAGATTAATTAGGATTAATCCTTGCTTTTGTCATATTCTGATTAAAATATGTGATGCCAAATTAAAATATGGATAAATCGTTAAAACACAATACGTTTTTAGTTTTAACCTTCCAATACTCACTCGGGGTATTTTAATACCACATATGGTTGTTTTACTTAGATATCTTGGTGAGGAAATTCAAAATTATACCGGGTGCGTCCCAAAAGTGGCCCACCCCTATAACTTTTTTTTTATTTTTTCAGATAAAAAAACGAAATTTGGTATGTTAGCATATGACATAGATTAGGATTGATTGACGTATTCAATTCTTTTTGGTTACTTCCTATTTCACCAAAAATTACTACGACTTTTGATTTTTAAATGGCACCCTCGTTATATTTTTACTTTATTCGATAAAAAATGACAGTCTGAAGAAGTGCTTTAAATCGAAAATGTCAACTTTTGACATTTTCGCTTTAAAAAAAATCGTATTTTAAGTTTCAATCTAGAGTGCCATGGCTGTGTTAAAAACACTTTTTTTTATTAAATGGCACCCTTGGTATTTTTTTACTTTATTCGATAGAAATTGACACTCTGGATAGAATGACATATCATATGTAAACTTTTGACGTTTTTGATTAAGACAAAATTGAATTTTAAATTTCAAGAGTGCCATGGCTGTGTTAAAAACACTAATTTTTAATCAAAGAGCCTTGGAAAAATAGATTTGATCGTCTCATGTTTTTCGTATCTTGTTATGGCCGATTAAAAGATGCCCAAATCGAATTTTTAATCATATCTCATTTTTTTTTAAATGGAACAAGGGTGGCTCATAAGCATATTTGGGAACAGGATTTTTTTACTATCACTTTAATTTGATACCACACACTTGATATTTCGAGTCAAATTGTCATTATAAACCGCATGTTACAATTTCAAATAAACCATATAAGAAAATGTCAAAAGTTGACATATGGTATGTCATTCTATTCAGAGTGTCATTTTCTACCAAATAAAGTAAAAAAAAAATCCGAGAGTATCGTTTAAAAATCAAAAGTTGTAATAATTTCCGGTGAAGCAGGAAGTGACCAAAAACAATTGAATACGTCAATCAATCCTAACTTATGCCATATATAACATACAAAATCTCGTTTTTCTTATCCGAAAAATTAAAAAAAGGGTAAGCCACTTTTGAGACGCACCCGGTATACCGTATCTTGTATTCTTCAAACGTAGTATGTGCTAGCTGATTAAGTCGCAAATGCGGCACCAAAATTTAAGGATTACTTCTGTTGACGTGTGTTAAGTTAGCACAACCACTTTAAAAAAAAGTATGTAACTATGTGGAATAATTGCCGTAAATTAGCCGTAAATTTGCCGTGAAACGTTTACGTTAATTAAAAAAAATAACGATTTTATAAACAAATAATAGAGGGGCAAATTTTTGGTTTGCATGGTGTATTTACGGCTAATTTACGGCAATTGTTTCACCTAATTTCAGACATTTTACTTGTTACTGTTTACTGGAATGGTTGTGCTAACTTAATATATGACCTTGACGCTATTACATTTTTTGCTGCAGGGGGATAGAGAAGGATCGGAGGATATTTTTTTTAACTGTATCAAATGCAAATTCCTGCTATACTGTAAAATTCCTAACTATGTTCTTTCACTGATTTCCAATGGTGGTTGTGCTAACTTAATATTAACTTAGCACAACCATCGATTTAACATACTCAGCGAAGAGCGGCAAATTTTTCGTTTTCGCGGCAAATTTACGGCAATTATTCCACATAGTTTCATACATTTTTTTTAAGTGGTTGTACTAACTTAACACACATCTTCTTTAGGGTGTCGAGGGCCTAACAAGTTCTATTAAAGTACATTATCTTGAAACCTTACACGTGCAAAAAAGGTCGAAAACTGGCAAAGGTGGGTGTTATTTCTGTCCCAAAAATCATGAATCATGAAATCATGCAGTGCCCCAAGTGCACTGATTGGCTATGTAAAATCCATCAACAATGGCTTAGCAAATAAGGCAAAAGCAGTTTCTGAATCCGAAAATTAGGGCTATTAATATTTAGTTATAATAGTTTTTCATTCTCTACAATTGTTAAAAATTTAAATGAATGCGTATTTTACATAATTACTCATATGACATCTAAATATTTTTTCTCTTGTTTCTCAACAAAAATTAATTGGGGTATTAAAATACCCCACGCGGGTACTTACGTAGAAGTGCGAGTGACGGAAGGTTAATAATATACTGATAATCTAATTTAATCTAAATGCTTATTAGCATTTTTTCTGGAATTATAATAATAATACATAAATATAATTATGCAAGTCACCAAACAGCTTCTATGATTCAACATTATTTTTAATTTTTCTCTCTTCCTTAACATTTATCGCGATATTTCAGGAAATATTTATTATAATAACCAACCAAAGTCAAGATAAAATATAATAGAGAAACAATAAATCAAAACGTCACTACAATATTTTGTTTTTTTATTTGAAGTTAATATTATTTATTGTTGATTAATTTAATGTATACATTGTAATAATTTTTTTTTAATTAACTTTTCTTTGACCAATCTAATATATTTTTTATTTATAGGGTTCTTGGCTTTTGGTCAATATTAAACTTTTTCTGGGTTTAGGAAGTGTTTATTATATAACTAACGTTTCGGTCCAATTTTAACCTTTTTCAAAGCCACAAAACGTACATTTCCTTCGTCAAACTTGTATTAAAACATGGGTGCATAAAATAACAGGTGATAACACATAACATTTAACTTAAAATTATACTCATACAATATCACCCACATGACACAATAATTAACATATACAGTTTAAAATTTTAATAAATTGTGATGGCCGGCTCAATGTATTTTCTGTACTGAAGCGTAATTTGATTAATCGAATTAATCAAATTAATTTCGGACTGGAATTTTAAACACCGAAATTAATTTGAAACAACGAGAATTCCTTGAAATGATTCAGATACAAAAAAACAAAAATGCAATTAACGGAAAAAAAAGATGTCGATAAGCTAAGTAGAATATACACACCAATCTTGTAAATAGAAACGCTTCAGTACAGAAAATACATTGAGCCGGCCATCACAATTTATTAAAATTTTAAACTGTATATGTTAATTATTGTGTCATGTGGGTGATATTGTATGAGTATAATTTTAAGTTAAATGTTATGTGTTATCACCTGTTATTTTATGCACCCATGTTTTAATACAAGTTTGACGAAGGAAATGTACGTTTTGTGGCTTTGAAAAAGGTTAAAATTGGACCGAAACGTTAGTTATATAATAAACACTTCCTAAACCCAGAAAAAGTTTAATATTGACCAAAAGCCAAGAACCCTATAAATAAAAAAAACATTGTAATAATGTTATCTATTGTTTTAAAAGGTAAAAATATACCTTCCATATCATTCTAGTTAGTATTACCAACCTCGTGCTACTTTGAATACCTTCTTATCACATTTCGTACCTTTAAACGTCTTAAACGGTTTGTCCTAAATACATTAATAATGTTGAAAAGTACGAAACAATTGAAAATCAACGTCAAGTTGGCTTAAAAATGATGATAGATGACCAAATATTTTTTCATACAAAATGAGAGCGATCTTTTTTTCATGATTTCATGATTTCCAAGTCATTCCTGACTTCGTTTTTCTTTCGAATCTTATAGAATACGTTCTTTCTGCAATAAGTTTATTCTGAATAGAAATTATACTATAAAAAATTAATTAGAAAATTTAAAAAGGTGTGACGTATATTTTACGATATTTTATTAACGCAAAATTGTTCAACTCATAGTGCATTTAATTTATTAATATTGGGGAAGGTTGATGACTATAAGATATTATAAAGTATTACCTAAGCAGCTTTCTGCGTTATATTGGATCAAAAACCGCACAAAAATGTGTACAAGAGTCACACTAGATAAGTGTGGTGTACACGCTGGACGTTTTCGTTTAAAGTCTCTCCAACTAGTCAGGGAAGATTTCGACAGACGCCATTCAGAAAATCACAGAAAATTGCATTTACTTGTGAATTAAAATCACAGATAACTGTCACTGCCATGTATTATACCCCAGTGCAGTTATGACATTCATCATGTTGAAATTGCAAAAAATTTTAGAAAGCTGCAACCATTGAAAATAGTTAGTCTTAGTAACCCTTATTAACATACTAAAAGTCCCCATTTGTCCGGTGTGTGTGTCATCAAAAAAATCGGCCGCCATCTTGAATTTTGGTACTTTTTGGGAAAACATGTAAATAAGTCGAAAACGGCACATTTTAGCGAAAAACTTCAAGAGGTAAAAATTGAAGAGAATTGAAAAATCTACCAGACTCATTAAAAACTAATTTAGTCTCGCAGCGAAGATTCATCTTATGAATTTTTAAATCCGGAAATATTCTAGAATCAAGCATTTGCGAAGCGAAAATCGTAGAGAGTGTAAAATGTTATTTAATAGGTTACTTTTTTGAATTTTCGTACTTGTCTTTAATATTAACATTTACATAAAAATAAAAAATAAACTATTGAGTTTAATATCGATCGCCATAATCATAGTAAGCCTGTTACTAGTAAGTAGTGTTTACTGTTATTTCTTCTAAGCAGATGGAGATGCAGATATAGTTTTAGTAAATTATGTTTTGAAAGTAAATGCATTTTCTACGTTTGCGTCGGTTATTTTAGTTGGCGAAGATACTGATTTATTAGTTTTATTACTGCATTATCGGACAAAAAATTCTATTTTTATGCTTCGGCATGGAAAATCGTCCAAACCTCACAGAGTAACTGACATCGGTAATATGCAGAACAAGATTGGTAACATGAAGCATTCAATCTTATCTGCACATGCTATATCAGGATGTAATACAACCTCGTGCTTGTTTAAAAAAGGTAAACTGGCGACTTTCAAAACGTTGCAAAAAGATCCTCATCTACGACAAATTAGTACATCCGCTTTTTTAAATCCTGCAGCACAAAAATCTGAGCTAGTCGAAGCTGGAAATACATTGTTATTTTCATTATATGGTCGACATAGGCTAGCAAAAGATTTAGATCAGTTGAGATATTATAAATATAAAATCCTTACATCTCGTCAGGTACTTGGTAAAAATTTTGATTTAGCTACCTTACCTCCAACAACTAACGCAGCTGAAAATCATTATTATAGAACCTATTTACAAATGCAGTATTGGCTAAATAACGGAAAAGAAGCAACATAATGGGGATGGAGTAAAAAACGGATACCTTAGTTCCAAAAACAATGTCAAACGCAGTGGCACCAGAATTTGTATTCAAAATGATTTACTATAATTGCAAATCTTGGATGTAATAAACTATGTACATGTTTAAAATCCAATATGCCATGTTCAAGCTTGTGTGGTAACTGTAATGATATTTCTTGCAACAACCAAATATCAGTCGATGAAGAACAAATCGAATAAAATTGTAAACTTCATTTTTTTTCTAGAGATGACAGTTTGAAACGTTAAGTTACAAGTTGGTAACACATTTTTATTAAAATGGTCATAATTTGAATTATTGTTATTCGATTTGTAGGAGTATGTTTATAATGTATTTATCATAATAAAAAAGTGTTAAGATCGTAGATGATATTTATGTCAAATAGACATTCGCAAATACTTTATTACATTTTATTTTTTTCTTCCAACCTGTAGCCTAATTTTTCAAACTGTTACTGTATTTTTAAAAACAAGTTGTTTACAAAATGGTAACAAAAAGACCTTGGTTTAAGTGCAAATTCCCGCGACCGGGACAGGTGGAGGCTGGTTTCGCACATTATTAGTACACATGTATTTTGTAAAGGATAGCTTTTACAATTTTTGTTAATTTTGAAATATTATTAAACCACCAATAGATATTTCTTGAAAATATTACAAGGATTGTATTTTAGTTGAATTGATGCTAAATATCCATGTTATTTGTTAATAAGCTTAAAAAATTAATAATTTGCATTTCGGTGATTCCTTTTAAAAATTGCTCGAATTTCAAAAAAATTTTGTACATCACTGCGTTAGGGTAATAAACTATTTTTTATAGGTTCTCATAGACTTTCTAATTCTCTTTAATTTTTATTTCTTGAAGTTTTTCGCTATAACGCACCGTTTTCGAGTTATTTACATTTTTTCTCAAAAAGTACCAAAATTCAAGATGGCGGCCGATTTTTTTTGATGACGCACACACCGGACATATGGGAACTTTTAGTATGTTAATAAAGATTACTAATGCTAACTATTTTCAATGGTCGCAGCTTTCTAAAAATTTTTGCAAATTTAAAATTAATTGCACTGGCCTATTATATCCTTAATTATTAGTATCGGAAGTTCATGGTGTCATAGATGCAATGTTTAAAAATTATATTATTGAAGTATTAATAAGTAAGTAAGTAAAAATTATATTATTAAAGTATTCTCATTACTTTCCACATAGTAGCAAGTAGGATAATTTTGTTAATATATGCATTATAGGCCAGTAAGCAAGGGTTTTAGTTTTTTTTTAAATTCTGCACCGATTGACGTGAAATTTTAACAGTGAATTGAGATATATGTAAGAAACAAAAGTTACACAGTAGCGATGTGTGTTTTCACCCTGAGGGTGAATACCACTCCTTCTCGGGAGCGAAAAATAAGTCACCCATTTTAATTACAAAAATCAATAAAGGGATGATTTTTTTTTATAATAAAACGCAAGATTTTCGAGTTATTATTTAAAATGGCAGAAAAATATGCAGTTTTTAGATGAAAAATCAACCTTTTTGAATCCTAAATAACTCGGAAAATCTTAATTTTCCGAGTTTTTGCTTAGAATTCATCCCTTTATTGATTTTTGCAATTAAAATGGGTGATTTATTTTTCACCCCCGAGAAGGGGTGGCACTCACCCCCAGGGTGAAAGCACACATCGCTGCTATGTAACTTTTGTTTCTTACATACCTATCTCTATATCTCTATTCACTGTTAAAATTTCACGTCAATCGTTGCAGGTGTCAAGAATTCGGAGGTAAAACTCTATTTTTATCCTCGCTTTCTGGCCTATTAGAAATTTTTTTAACTAAAAATTAAAAAAAAATAGTCTGAAAGGTAATTTGGAAAAGAACATTTTTTTTGTCGAAAACCATACGAGAAGCTTAGTGTAATTTGGACCAAATATCCTTAAGTAGTATAAACAAAGAATATACCTGCGTGTAACCAGACACATACATGTCAATGAATAATTAGTAGTTAATTTTTTTTTCTGAAGATTTCGTAATAATAATGATGAGCAAAATCAACATCAAGAACATCTTACAGTATAATAAATAGTTTTGGTATTCATCTTCTTTGCTGCAAGACTCTTTCAAGTTTGGCACTTTTTTGATAAATTTTTACTAGAAGCAATTTATACAAAGAAAAAAAACAGTAATTTCAAGTAATGGAACGTTAAAGAAATATAACTTTTTTGTTGAAAATTTTGGTTTTCTATATTAAGTACCTGCACTATACCGAGGATTGCTGCGATATTTTCAAATCTGTGAAAATGTCGAAACAAATCTAGTTAAGGAATCACTTGTTGAAGTTTGTGTTGAATCATGCCATGTTATAGCTAATTGTGATGTTAGCACTAGAATTATTTTATTTAAACTGCATATTGTACTCGTAGTAGGTATTTATTTTAATATTATGATTGCTCATAATTGAGCTGAAATTTGAAAATTCATCTACTGCTCTAAAAAATCTCCAAATTAAGGGGTATTCTTGAACTCAAAACATATTAAAATAATGGCAGTTTTCGACTATTGCAACATTGTTTTTATAGTTTTTTAAGTAATATACAAAATTCGAGAAGATCGTGACAAATAACTAACAAATAAATAAATGTTTACTAAACTGTGCCTTACCTAATGCGACAAAATTCGGTAGATGCGACAAAAATAGGTATTCGGTGTCAACAAAAAGGGTTTATATGCGAATATGACACATTTTTGACAGTTACTACAATCAAAAACTCAAAACTTAAGTGAGGATGCAGTCAATAATCACCACACAGGCTAATAAAACTACTTTTTCAAAATTGTCAAGCTTTCGAGAATTTTATTCCCATCCTCAGGACAGTTTGACTGAGTCAATTAGCAAAAACAATATCCTCTGCACCAAAAGGCCTTAAAACTAGCATCATATGGCACTATTTTTTAAAACAATTTTTTTTAAAGGTTACTAAGACTAATTTCTACATTGTCGTTTCGAGCTCGATCAAACAGTGACTGGCTCGATCAGACAGTCGTATTTTTAATCATATCTCAATTTCTTCAAATGGAACAAAGGTGGCTCATTAGGATATTTGGAAAAAGCACGAAAGTACGAATAATTTGGTACCCCACACTTGGCATTTCGAGTTAGTTTTACAATTTCAAATAAAGCATAATAAGAGAAAATGGCAAAAGTTGACATATGATATGTTATTCTATTCAGAGTGTCATTTTCGAATAAAGTAAAAAAATACCTAGGGTGTCATTTAAAAATCAAAAGTTATAGTCATTTCGGGTGAAACAGGAAGTGACCAAAAACAATTGAATACGTTAATCAATCCTAATTTATGTCATATTTTACTAACATACCAAAGCTCATTTTTTTATCTGAAAAAATAAAAAAAAAATATAGGAATGAGCCACCATTGAGACGCACCCGGTATAACCTATAAAAATATGTATAAATATATCTATTAACCCACAGATAATATTTGAAATATTAAGTATGTAATATCAAATTTTATTAATATCTAACTAGAATAAGAATTTATAGTATGTCCTGAAATAAAGTAAGAAATGCCGAATAATGAAACTCGTTTAAATTTCTTCGCAGCTTCCTGGCACTTTGCCTTAGAGATGCCCTTGACTGACATTTTCCGACGCGCATCCACCTACATTCTCGGCTACGAAGACGGCACGGAGAAAGAGCTAAATTATGAGGAAAACGAGGTCTTATTCTGCAAGAATAACGTATGCGTCCATCCCCCGGCAGTTATTAGACAAGAGACGGACATTCTACACAACCCAGGTAAAAATAATCCTTGTAATAGTAAATTTTCTAAGAGTGTAGTAAAAGTATTTTTAAAACAACTTTCGTCTATCACTCTCAGTTAATTACTTCACATGCAAATTGTTAAGCCTTCTCTTCTTTCTGGGATAACGGTGTAATTCTATGACACACGACCATTCTGTGACACACGGCCTTGAATAATGGCCGCGAGACGCATGCGAAACGGCCGTGTCGCGCGAGCTAGCGAGAGGAAAAGTGATACCGCCAGTGTTTATAATAACCACAGCTAACCCATTCTGGATAGATCTACCGTTTTGTAAAACAATTTAACCCATTATCTCGTGATAATCTACCCCAATGAAAAATAAGCTTGTAGCAACACTGGTTAACGATCTGTACCATACGCGGCTAAGAAAATCACTATAATAAAATTGAAACTGTACCAACCTTGATTCCATGCATATTTTCATCGATAAGTTTGTAGCTTCTAAATAACGGTCTAGGTAAAGCATCTAACTCATTTGTCAGTTCAGAATTAGAATTTAGAGTTAGTAACTCGCATTTTCATTGGAGAACACTGTCATATTTATTTCAAACCAATAATCAACGGGAATATTAGTATAATTTAATAAATTACTGTATATCACTATAAATAATGAATTATTTGTAATTGAGCTGTAATTTCTGTATTATTAATTCGGTAAATGATGGAGATAACCATTTGTGATTGATAAAGATTTTATTTTAAGATGAAACTTATTTATATATGCGAAACAACATTCTGAGAATTCGAATAATGAATTGAATAATTGATTAATGACAAGACAAGTGACATCTGCCCAAAAAAGAAAAAGACAGCGATTTAGAGTGACAATTTGGTTATGTAAAATTTAGAGTGACAATTTTGATTATACAGAAGAAAGTATTCTGAGTTTGCTAGTTGCCTAACGATTAACATAATTTAAAAATAAATCCTCAACATGAATAATGAACACAACATTTAAACAAAAACAGACCACAGACTACACAAAACAAATTGATGGTTAGTAACAGCAAAATAAAACACCAAAACACTTTTACTTTTACACTGGACGCGCGTTTCGCTAACCATGTTAGCATCATCAGCAGATGATTATAAACTAAAATACAATCTACAATTGGAGCGTTTATACAGGGTGGCGCTTCTCATACGCCGCGGAAGCTCCAAGGAGAACGGCAGTTTATGTCGAAATAAAATTTTGGCAGCATATGTAGGTTAACTGAAAGCATTTTATAAAAATATATATAGTTATACAGGGTGTCCCCAAAAAAAGTTACACATCAAAGTTGTGTTTTTTCTAATGAAACACCCTATATATTAATTGATTTTCTGATTCTAGGAAAAAAATAAAGGTGAGTTTTATTAAAGAAGCATATACCCAAAATCTAAGAATTTTGAGATATTTCACATTTTGTGAAAACAAAAAGTAAATTTTAAATTTCGATAACAGCTACCTAAATTTTAGTTGACTATGTATAGCCTGATATTTAATTACAGTAAACATTGTATGTTAAACCAAATTGAAATTTGACCCGAAAAGTTATACAGGGTGAGACAAAATTAATATGGAACATTAGTCACTGTTAAAAGCAAGTTACTCCTTTATTTTAAATGGAACACCTAGTATATTTTTCCGGCGTTCAATGGAGAATTTATATATCTTCAAAATATTATTAAGGTTGTCTAACCCTCAGACAAAGATTCTCCTAGATATTTTAATTTTTATGATTTTGCGTCAGTGGATCTTTATTATTTGAAAAAATCTAGGGGGCTGTGTGATATACATTTTGTTAATTTAAGAAAAATTAACGATTGTAGTGTAAAATACTCAACGGTAATAAAAAGATACACGTTTAAAACATATTTTAATTATTACAGAGAAAAAACTCACAATCTTTTAGGATGTTTATTTCAAAATTTAATTTGATTTAAAATTGGGGCGACATGTTTCGGGATTCATTTAATTCCCATCATCCGGCCCAGAAAGACAAAAGTTACACCAGGAAGCCACTCGGAAAAAATAAAACAATTGGATTGTTAAAATTCATTAAGCAATTGTACTCATTGTAACTGCAAACCAATCCAATTTCTCAAAATCCTTCGTTGTTGTTCTAATCAATAAAGGCTTATACCATAATTCTAAAATTGATTAATTTATTAATTTTCAGAGTGGTATGGCTTCCTGGTGTGACTTTTGTCTTTCTGGGCCTGAGGATGGGAATTAAATGAATCCCGAAACATGTCGCCCCAATTTTAAATCAAATTAAATTTTGAAATAAACATCCTAAAAGATTGTGAGTTTTTTGAGTCCCCTACCCCTCGTCAGAGGTTTTACATTGATGTGTACTCACACTGGGTTGGAGAACGTTTAGTTAAAAAATAGTTTAATTGTTCCTTACTGCTTAAACCTTTAGATAATATCCATATATATTTTTTGTTTTCCTGTTGTTGGGTATGAGGTTTTTTTTAAATAAATTGAAAGGGGCGACTTCAAGAATAAAGTGCCTGAAAAAGCCCACTATGTTGGAGCGAAACGTCGCATAAAAAAAAGAGTTTCCTTCTTTCAATTTATTTAACAAAAAACTCATACCCAAGAAAAGGAAAAAATATATATGGACTAAATAAAAAACCCACTCCTAGTTTTTTCATTCTTTGTTTTTCGTATTAGTAAAGGACTATTGATATCGCAGATACTAAAGCTCTAGCATTTACATAGAATTTTGTAAATGCTGATATTTTGGTATTTGACAATCATTTCATAGTAAAAGATGATTTTTCATAAATCACAATTATTGTCTACCACATTCAAATAGAAATATGCCATTCAAACTTGTGGTAATTATGTTTTAGGATACCTAACAGTCACAACAAAAATCTTTATCGACCAGTATAACGATGCGAAACGGCCAACCCTCTTTCTCACCTGGATTCCCAACAGCGATCTGTCGAAATGTCCGTCCACCCTTCAAAACACTTTGCAGAAAAAACAGACCAGTCTCGAAAGTCTCACTTCCAATGACTCATACAACAGCAACGTACAAGACAGCTTCTACAGACCCATGAGCGCAGAAATCAAAAGTACAAACCCATTCCTAAACTTCGAAAAGAGCGAAATATCCGACTCGGTATGTTCCGACGAGAGTGAGAAAAACAATAGTGTGATCAACATCAACGTGGATATATCCAATCCAGAAATAGAAATCATTCAAACGCCGGATAGTATCAAGGATCCCATAGAGCACTTCGAGTTTTCAAGATCGGGAAGTGTGACGAGTACCGATAGTCAGTACAACTGGATCACTACTCCGGAATACCTGATGCAGAAACATAACCTTAACTTTCCCGAGAGCGCCAACAGTTCTCCTATACTGCCTACTAAGAAGCACAAATGTAGAAGGTTTAGCGTTGATCTTAGTCAAATGCGATCATTAAGGTAATTATTTCTATAAAAGAACAACAATATTTTAACAAAATAAAACACTAATTCACCACAGTACACCAAAACACTTTACCTTTGCACTGGACGTGCAAACGCTAACGATGTTAGTATCATCAGCAGATGATTAACAGTGTATATAGCAGAGCCTTTTTAATTATGGTTAGCGAAACGCGCGTCCAGTGGTTATACTACAGCTCTGTATTAATCAGCATCTACACTATGCGAGAAACTCTTCGAAACATATCAAGGTCGCATTTCGTCGCCCAACTTTGACGCATTTCGATTTATTTCCAGTTGTCTTGACCCACTTCGGTTTGCCTCGATACTTTCGATTCTTAAAAGCGCTTGAAAACTACTCGCGAGGAGGGCGAGGGGTGATTTTTTTGGCGTTTTTTCATGCATCGTTCAATTTTGTTTTGTTTTGAGCTATTTCCAAAACGTGGCGGTATCTGTATCCGAGGCAATTTTTTTTTTCATAAATCTCAGTGAAATAAGTAAACCTAGACGTTTCTAAAATAGCTGTTGTTACGATGATATTTCGCTAATTACATCTTTATGTTATATTGATATATATTCCACAGAATTAATATTTGAACACGCGTTTATTATATGTATAGTAGATATTTAGGAACAAAACTTTTCACTTAAACTGCAGGAATATTTTTAGGATTTAATTTTATTCTAATGAATAAGTATATACAATTGTATATATGATAGGTTTGTATACGGCCTTAATTGATTAATATAAGAGTAGTATTGCTTGATGAGTAATACTAGTAACATTATCAATATATACGCTTGAGAAAATTATTAATTGACCCGATGTCAACAAAAGTATGATCCACGGACATGCAATGTTCTTTTATTGTTCTTAAGAGAACTCTGTAAACGATACTTTTATTAGTACCCAGCATGGTTTCATATAAATACATTCAACTAGTATTTATTATGCAGGGATTTAGACAATTAAAACTAGAAAAACAAAATCAAATTCGTAAACTAAACTTTGCTAGAGACTATTTTTAAAATAATTTTGTGTATATTTTGTTCATGAGGCGCAATACCGTGGATTATAAGCCGATAAATGGTAGACCGTTAGTTAGTCACTCTTTTATATTATTTACTATATTGTTAATAATAATTCTAATAATAAATATTCTAATAATATTAGGCAATAATTAAAACTAAATATTGTTGTGTAACCTTCGAGGAATAGCCAATTTAATTTACCATCGGTAACTGTTTTCATATCAGTTTTTCCATGTTTACTTATTTTTCTGAAGCCATCACAACGTTTGACCTTAATTGCCTCGTGCTATTTCACAAAATAGTACGATAAATATAAGCCCTTGTTATAAAAATTAGTATAACGCGCCGTGATAAAAATAAAAAACAAACAACCAATCACGGCGGGTCTCGATCTATTTCAGGAAACTTGGAAACTAATTTTTATAACACGGGCTTATATTTATCGTACTATTTCCAGAAATATTTCGTAAAACAGTTCGGGGATAGTGTAGCGGCTGTTTTAGATTATATTTAGCTTAAATATATTATCTTCATTTCAGCAGTATTCGTGAAAGTTTTTAAAATATATTTTTTTTTTCTACACACATTTTCGTACACTCCTTAAAACTGGCAACACTGTATGCCGTTTTTTATTTTGTTTCTCTGTCTGTTAACCGGTCATTTATATTTATCTTTGTCTCATGCACTAAAATAAAGACCACGCAGTTTCAATGACCAAATCGGTATACTATATGATATTAGTAACTAGAAATATTTTTCCCTGTAATTTCTTTGTTGTCGTCTGTCAAAAATATATACTCTCCCGCCTAACAAACTATAACGATTAATTTCTTGTATAATATTTCAGGCTATTTTTTAATGACAATACATGTACCTGCGGACAACTAGTTGTGGCGTCTAGAGAATCTCAATACAAAATATTACATTTTCACCATGGTGGATTAGATCATCTGGCTCAAGTGCTACATCAATGGCATTCGTTGTTGCATAATATAAAAAGCGCAAAAGGTAAGTATCATTATATATTTTTATGCAATATTATAAAAAAAAACAGTTACAAAAATTACAATTACAATTCATATGCAACGTCTGTTACTTTGGTTTTTACCACTTTTCGTCGTTAATTTTACAAAGGTCGTATCTCATATTTCATAGTTTTCCAGAATGGTTTTGGATATCGGTTAAAGTAAATAAACATTTGCTAAATTATTTACTTGCCGGAAAAGTATAGGACGCAGAGATACGACACTTCGTGAGATGAAAAGAAAGTATCATATTAGGTTTGAGTTTGTGGCTGTATCTCAAAACAGGCATTTTTTGAGATAAGTCAGTTTGTGAAATTAACGACGTTTTGATCTCTACATACCCACAGATCTCAGCAGTATCGAATAATACTGCTTTTTCTATTTTCTTTTAAATTGCCTTATAATTGAACAATACAAACTATACTCTGAGTATTCAATCCATTGTTTGTTAAATTCATTATTTCTCTAAGGTTAGGAGTCGTTACTGTGTCTTCCATTTCTTTGACACATTTGAGAGATACCTTCTGATTTCTGTAACTTTAATTGAGAGTCTTCAAAGATTCAGCAGTAGGTTACAACTGTTACAGTCGTTGACATTTTTAAATTGATCGGAATTTTTCACTTAAGTTTAATAAGTGTTTTGTTGTTTAAATTAGCGTCGTGTAAAAATTTAAGAATATATTTTTCTTCTTACACACTATGCTAGTAACTAGATTACGAAGTGCTTTGTAATAGGCCAAATCTGAGGTAGATTTTTTTTTGCAAAAGCACTGTTTCTTTCCTTAATTAACAATTTTGTATTGCATGCCAACCATGGGGTACATGGCTTTGTCACTCACCTGAGACAAAGAGGTTGCATGCCTGTTAAATAAATCAATAATTTTATTTGACAAAAAGTTTATTAAAGTTATTTATTTCGTCGATATTTTTCATGTAGTAAATCGAATTCCAGTTAACATCATGTAATCAAAGCAAAAATTTAACTTTGGAGTTATATTTAAAGTCCCTAAAGAACAATTTCACGTGGTGTGGTTAATTTAAAATCTCAATTGTTTTCCGAGTAGTCTCAATATTTCCAGTTTTAAAAGTGTTAGGAAGTATAATTTTTGAAAGATTATTTGCTAATTCGTATTTTAATCACAGGTTTTGCTAGTGGAGCATAATTGCCGCTATTTCGGCTATAACAAAATTTTTTAAAGGTACATAATTATAATTTTAGAAGATGTTCATAAAACATTTAATCATTAGTTGATTTAAAAAAGTTACAAAGTTAATATTGCAAATTATATTTTATCCTCTCATAGTATATGTCTATTTAATGTTTTAATTACGTCACGAGCACTTTGTTTACTCACTTGTTTCGTCGAACTGCTTGAATCCATTTTTGCTTTTGATCAAATCGGTGTGGGAAACTTTGAAGCGATAAAATGTTGTTTCGGGAGATTTGAATATTTGAATTAGAATTAGTTGAATTATTGAATGTTATTGCACCCAACAACGCCCTAATTGCGCTCTCCTTTACGAGTTAACATTTTGCGTCTCAATTTTATTAATATTTCAAATTTCAAACACAACACAACGCTTAGTTCGAATTCTTTTTCACTTATTTTTTACTACCCGAAACAGCGTTAAATCACACAAGTGAGTTACCTGAGTATTTTATAGTCTCAATAACTGCACTAGAAAAAAACTAAAATACTTAAATATTATGACAAAGCCACGATTTCAATATTATTTTAATGCGATCAACACGACGCGACGCGACGCAGACGCGCGGCGCCGCCGGCCGATAACTTCTGATTTTTGCCGTTGAAGCGGTGCGGTTGGAATTTGTTGAATTTAACTGAAATGCACCAAGCCTATAATGTGCATTCTTATAGATATGGAATTCCGAATATAAAGAAATATAATAATAATAGCTCCCGTATATAGCGTTCAACGCCTTGGGAGTAGCAAGGTACAGCTTGCCATACTAGAGCCGTTCGGTATACAAGGAAGGTAGTGTGTCTAGCACTACGCTTCAACCGCCTATTATTACCTCAGGATTGTCAATCCCAAGTACTCATTTAAGGCTGAGTCGACCTAGGTACCCAAACTATTTTTATTTTAATACAAATAGTCAGCTGATGCAATGCCGGGTGTGAGATTCGAACCCACTACCTTCAGATTGGTAGACGAGAGCCTGTACCTCTACGCCACCGGGCACCTCATATAAAAAAATAATTTTTTAAATAGTCAAATTTATTTATCAAATGTTTATTGTATTTTTATATTGCTACTGTTCATATCCTATGATTTATATAGTTTTATATGAAAGTATGTCCGCACTATAGACTCCAGAATCTATTTCTACAAATTTTGTAAACTAGAGTTGAAATTATGAAATATTGAGAAATGCTAGTTCGTTAAAATTCATTGTAAAGATTGTTGACAAATTTCAGGAGGCGATGAAAATCTTCCTTATCGACACTTCATGGTGTGCAGACCCGAAGTTTCCGAACTTGAACTTCACCCCGAAGAAGGTCAGGTATCGAAACTAACAACGGAAATTTTTCGCAGTTTGTTTAATGAAAATGGACAGTTAGAGGATGACCTGACTTTAAGAAAACACGTATTTTTCTCCGGCATGGATAGAGATATCCGTAAAGAAGTGTGGCCTTTCCTGTTGCAAGTGTATCCATATCAGAGCACGTTCGAAGAGAGAAATCAAATAGCAGAAATACGAAGACAGGTTAGTACCATACGATCGAAAAAAAACTGGATCGAAGATGGCTGGGGAATCGATAATAATTTTGACGAGGTCAAGCCCTAGACGTCATTTACTAGGCCCATACTCTTACTTATTTTTTAACGGAACTTACTTGGCCTTGAGAGTTATGCGAATTATCGATAGTGATGGGAATACTGGTTCCACATTAGTCGCGTTACAATATATAGCGACCGTTTCAGAGAAATACCGCGACAAAATACCGCGATTCTGTAATGTGTTATTTCTTTATCTACGTGTATATTTCTTATTGGTAGAAAAATTAGGAGTAAAATGTTCATGTCAGAAAATCAAAATAAAATCAGTCTTCCTTTATTCCCGTATGCATTCCCGTTAGTAAAATGTAATTCGGTTTCTTTGCAGACTATATAACTCTAATTGGGATTATATTTTCAATTCAAAAGAAAAAAAATCAATTGAAAGTAGCTTTACAAATTTCCTTTTTTTTCGGTCATATTTCTTTTTTGTTTTTATTATTTTTGTAAAAGTGTTTATTTGTAACAATCTAATGTACCTAACATGTATTTATTATCAATCAAAAATGCTTAGTACCTAGACCTACCGAAAAATCGCGATCTCGAAAATAACGTAACGACTGTAACGGGAGCATCAACGCCAACAGCGACCGATCAAAGCGCGACGCTACGTAGTTACCAGTTCCAGTTCCTAATGTTCGCGACCGACGAAAACTCGACCCAACGGGCGCTCCCAGCAGTCGCGCGATCACTGGCACTGGCGCGATCACGGTATTTGGAGGTCGTTACCAGTTACATCTCTTTGCGACAGACGAAGCGATCGAGATCTACTACTGTTCGCGACCGACGAAATCGCGACCTGGCCTCTTAGCGATTATAAATTATTTATTTGCAAATTATAAATAATTTATAGTTTTGTCGTTATTATGATCGTCGTTCTTCAGTAACAGGTTCCTGACTCATTGTGGAACGCGACACGACGTTACAAAAAAATACCGCTCCAAAATCACGACCCAACCCAACCCATACCATCACTAGATCTCGATATATAATTACATACAAGGTATGACTTTTAATTTTTCTATATTATTTGGAACATTTGATATTTTATTACTTTTAATTTTTTACGAGTTTTTGTCAATTTTTAGTAAATGACGTCTAGAGATTGACCTCGCCAAAATTATCATCGATTGTCATTCCCCAGTCATCGTTGAAGCCGTTTCTTTGGATCATACTGTACCTATTAAGAAGTAAAAGCCATCTTATGTTCAGTAAAATTATAAAAAGTTTTAAGTACAGTTCTATAAATTTCAAATTACTGGTAATTCCACCAGAGATACCGTTACCTTTTTTTTATGTTTTTCTTTAATGAAACAAATCATCAAATTTATATAAATAATTTTAGGAATATGAAGAAATAACAAGGCGAAGACTTGATCTAAACGAAAACAAACTGAATCAATTTCGAAGAAAAATTCAAAGTGTTGTGGAAAAAGATGTAGTCCGAACAGATCGAGGCAACCCTTACTTTGCTGGTGACAATAACCCTAATTTGGTTATAATGAAGAATATTTTGTTAAATTATGCAATATACAATACAGGCTTAGGGTAATTTTGATTTAAATAAACAAAATATTTGTTTTAATATATTGAATTGTATTGTAGTTACACGCAAGGTATGAGCGACTTACTTTCACCGGTGCTTTGCGAGCTGAAAGACGAAGTTGCAGCTTTTTGGTGTTTTGTCGGATTAATGCAGCGCGCTGTTTTTGTAGCTACACCTACGGATAGAGATATGGATAGATCCTTAAGGTAAATATATGATACTGTCGCGACCCATAATTTTATCACGGCAAAATACATTTTTTTTGCATAGTAGGGAAAAATATACGAAACTTCTAAGTTCATAACGTCACTGAATAGCATTTTAAGTGACCATTACTTTGACTAAAAGTGAGATTAGGCTTAACGATCAATTATCTCCATAAACTTTTAAATTATCACCGTAACTTGAGGAATGGGAGTCCTGCCACCGTCTAAGACAGGGGTGGCCAATCGCGATCGACCGGTTGATCGCAAGGCCAATTTTGGTCGATCATCCCAGATAAAGATGAATTTCTATTGAATATTTTAGCTTCTGCATATACGGAATGCTGCTATCAAAAGTTGGTTAGGTTGGTTAGGTTAGGTTAGGTAACGAACAGTGCTTTCCATAAAATCAATAAAGTGAAAAATATACGAAATGATATACATGTACTGATTTCTTTCGAAAATCGACAACTATGAAACTATGATCCCTTCCTGGACACAAACGGTATATTGTGAGACAGGAAATTGTAGAGAGAAACAAGCCCTATAACATAGGATACAACATTTTAATGAACAGTGCTTTCTATAAAATCAATAAAATGAAAAATATACGAAATTATATACATGTACTGATTTCTTTCGAAAATCGACAACTATGAAACTATGATCCTTTCCTGGACACAAACGATATATTGTGAGACAGAAAATTGTAGAGAGAAACAAGCCCTATAACATAGGATACAACATTTTAATGAACAGTGCTTTTCATAAAATCAATAAAACGAAAGATATACGAAATGATATGCATGTACTCATTTCTTTCGAAAATCGGCAACTATGAAACTATGATCCCTTCCTGGACACAAACGGTATATTGTGAGACAGGAAATTGTAGAGAGAAACAAGCCTATAACATAGGATACATACATACATACATACTGCCGTTACTCGCTGACGAGTTTTCGACACGCATCAAAAGATGGTCACGCAAGGCGTTTTCTTTCATGAGCTTTTCTGTGACTGAAAAGCCCGATACGTGATGTTATTTGCCTACCGCACTCCGGACATTCAAAAATCTCATTGCTTTGTTGTCTCTTTACTTTTTGGTTGTCGCTGTTAACTGAGTTTACAATTCTTCTCCATTGAGTTCTATTGTGAACTGCTTCATCCCAGTGATTCTGCATGTTAATCCCCTTTAAGTTTTCGTGGAAAATGTCCTTGTACCTTTTGAGTTGTCCACCCGCCCTCCTCTTACCGTCTACAAGCTCACCGTAAAGCAGAGATTTTGGTATGCGGTTTTCTTGCATTCTGCATACGTGACCAGCCCATCTTAAGCGGGATTTTGTAACAATGACTTCAATACTCTCGCAATTAGCTTTTTCAAGGACCAATACGTTTGAGACATGATGGAACCACCGGATTCTTAAGAGTTGTCTCAGGTGTCTCTGTTGCAACTTGTTTAATGCGTTCATATGTCGGCGGTACGGCACCCAGGTTTCGCTCCCATATAACATGGTGGGGATTATAATTGCTCGGTACACTGCAAGTTTCGATTTTGTACTCAAGTCATGATTGTAGAAAACCCTGTCTTTTAATTTCCAGAATGCTCTTGAGGCGCTGCTAATCCTGTGCTGAATTTCAGAGTCAATATTGACCTTTTCCAAAATCAAACTGCCGAGGTAATTAAATTCCGCTACATATTCCAATAGTTCTTCTCCGAATTTTATAGCATTTTATGATCTTCCGGGGGAGTGCACATGATTTTGGTTTTGTCAATGTTTAGCTTAAGGCCCAAAGCCTCGTATGCCCAGGTATATGTGTTCAACATTTCTTGTAATTGTTGTAACGTGTTTGCAACTAGAGCGCAGTTATCAGCGTATTGAAGTTCTGATAGGATACAACATTTTAATGAACAGTGCTTTCCATAAAAAAGGGTTGTGCGAATTGTATTTGGGAAACTCCGGCTGCTTATTCTGCAGATAAAAATAAGTAAAAGTTTGTATAAATTAATTTCCTAAAATGCTTCGTTTCTGAGATACAGGGGGTAGAAGTTTCGTTGCTTTTTTTTTCGTTTTTTTTTCTAATAATTTCTGAACTTAAATAATAAGAACTTAATAAGTCGATCTTTGGATGAAAATCTGTGTGTGGGTGTTTTTTGACATAAGAAATGGTGTTTTTTGACATAAGAAATTTTATTTCGAAGTTAATGTGACTCCTATTTGTTGGGTTTGTACCTACCTGTGTCTACCTACCAACTTTCATCCAAATATTGACGTTACTTATTAATTATTTGGAAAAAATCGAAATAAAAATGAAACTTCTACACCCTGTAGCATTTTTGTAAATATTTATATTGATAGCTATTATGAATTCACGTACTTGTATGAATTATATTATTGATTAGATAACTAGGTTACTACTATTTAGATTTTATTATAATTTGTAAAACTATGTACCACTGTAGAAATAAAGATTTTTTGATTTTTTTTTGTATCTCCAAAATTAAGCATTTTAGGGCATTCCTTTATACGAACTTTTTTACTTATTTTTATCAGCACAATATGCTGCCGAAGTTTCCAGAATACAGTTCGGACCACCCTGTATGTTAATTAAAAGTCGCAATATATGTACTTGGATCCTCTTTACAAGAGGAAAAAGTTTATATTAATATTTTGAGAAAATAAGTTCTTCATAAAAAAAATACTTGTTGCATAACCGCTAATCCTGTTTAAAGGTTTGAAAACCAATAGCATTATTTAAATTTAATTCTGTAAGAGATGATTAATATTCATTTGGATTTTTCTGTCGTGCCTATAAATACCTCCCCTTGTAGTCCTCAAGCCAAGAAGTCATGCGTAAGCTATCAGGCTCTTTTATGATAACAGTACAAAATTCAGTAGTCTTTTACACAAAATTAATATTTTGAATTTTGAAACTACTCTCTTTCAGTGACAATAAACTACTGCCGTATTTTCTAAATTGTGCAATTTTTGTAGTAGCTTAATTACGAATTTAAAGATATAATGTATTTTTAGGTATTTAAGAGAATTGATAAGATTGATGCTTCCAAAATTCTACCAACACTTGGAGAACCATAAAGATGCCATGGAACTTTTGTTTTGCCACCGATGGATTTTACTGTAAATCCAATTCTATTTAATTATTAAAATAATTTAATACAATGCACCTTTTGTAGATGTTTCAAGAGGGAGTTCACAGAAGCAGTGGCCTTAAGAATGTGGGAAGCTTGCTGGGCCAATTATTTGACAGATTATTTCCATCTATTTCTTTGTTTAGCAATAATATCTGTATACGCCGACGATGTGATAGCTCAAGATCTGAGAGCAGATGAAATGCTTCTCCATTTTAGCTCCCTAGGTAAATATTGATAATTAGTGTATCTATAGATTTTCAGGTGAAATAAAATGTTAATAGCAACAAATCCCTCATTTATAAATTCAATAGTATCTAGTGTTTTTCACAATTATTTTATTGTTCAGTTAGGAAATTATATTGGTGAATTATTAATTTTTAATTAAATATTAATTAATTAATTTCAATTGATTAATTATTACCAATTAATTAATTAAAATTTATTTTAATAATTACAATTTTTTGATTTCGATACATTGACGATTTCGTAGCGCACGGAACGTTGTCAAAATATCATGAAAAAATGGGGCTCTTCGACATTCCGAGTTTCAGCTCCCTAGCTCGCATAGGGCCCGAGTTACGACGCACAGTGCTTCGAACATATGGCTCTAGAGGACAAAAATCCAAAACTTCTCTTTTATTGTAAGCAATTTATTCAAACTAGGTTTATTTGACACAAATGATGAGTACTCTCATTGTACTAAATGATGATGTTCTTAGTCCCACGTTTATGAAAAAAAAATCTTATAAATAATAATAATGTTGGAGCTGTGTTCCATCTAAGCAAATAATAAGTTATAGTATGAAAACGGTGTAAGTATTAAATAAATTCCTGTGATAAAAAGAATTGAAATAACATTAGAACATGATTCCTACAATATAAGCCTAATATAAGATAAAAATGTTTTTCTTTAATGAAAAAGAAACATCAATGTTATATTTAATTAAAAAAAAACTTAAGATATTATAAATTTACTTTAGGACAACAAAATGCATAGATCGTAACTACTCTGATTCAGGAGAATCACTGCTGACAGAATCTTCCAAATTTATAGTATCCAAATCACAGGTAGATGAGGTATCCTCACATATAAGATATTTCTGTCTCACATATAAGATATCATTTTCTAATATGTTACTTTTTCGCGTTGTTACTGTTCATTTTGTCGGTATGAGGGGTTCGGATGTTAATAGTTACCTCTTTAAGAGACCATATTCAGATATTATTTTTTCCTTTTCTTGGGTATGAGATTTTATAATAAATTGAAAGATGGGGGGGGACACTTTTTTTATGCGACGTTTCGCTCCAACATAGTGGACTTTTTCAGGCACAAGTGGTGTCTCATTTGACTGGAAGGTTCATCAATATCTAATAAGAACATATTTTTTGAAATACAAATAATTTTGAGTTCTTGTCCTTATGATCAAGCCAAGTATTAGCCAGATCGGCATTGCTTATCAATTTTACCCCATCTGAAAAGTATTATAGAATAAAGTTCGTCGCAAGCAGACGCAGGTGAACTATATAAAAATTAAAAGTGTATGAATATGGCAACAAAAATATTCAATAAATACGATATGTTTTGATATGTTTTTTTTAAATGCCTTTTTGAAGTTTGAAAACGTAAAATTTTTATACCCATTTAAGAATCATCTTAAAAAATAAATAAAAACTAAACAATCACGAACTTAGAAATAAATTTAAAGTACATACCTTGTTTAACAATATCCATAGTGGCTTTCAATTAAGTACGTACCCGTTTAACTCCATAATATACAGAACAACTATGAATTTTATTCTTTTCACTGATGAGATAATGATCGCAAAATTTATTTTTAGTGAAAATATTTGCTAACAAAAACGCTGTTTATGAAAAATAATATACAGGATGGTTGAACATTGCTATAGGTATAAAATTATATATTCAGATATTAGTGAATTTTAACTTATTTTTTGATTTTTGTCCATGGGACGAAGCACTGTGCGACGCTCCGTCTTAACCTCCGATCGTTACCACTTTTCCTGACGCTTCTCATGTGTAACGGCTTTCAATTTTTAATCCCATAGCGCGTAAAGAAGTGTCACTTCAACAGGTATAACTGAATGTATTGCCATAATTTAATTATTTTTGTAGCAATGTATATGGATGGTCATCTAATAGCAAGAAAAGCAAGAGGTCTTCTACATCAGTTTAGGCAAATGCGGGAGATCCCGTGTACCTTAAATGGATTGTGCACGAGATGCGGCCCAGGAATTTGGGACAGTTCCCATAGCCCGAGAATATTTTGTAGCTGTAATGGATCTTGCACCAACATTTTAAACTAAAAAATAATGACCCACTGTTATAACGACACCTATAGATAACATAAGTATGCATAAAGATTTCATTGGTAACTAAATTACGAAACAAGGTATTTAACAGTAATCGTTTGTTACACTTAGTTGTAGTATTTCATTCAAAAAAGTCCGTAAGTTCATAAGTTAATATTTTTATTGATAATTTTATTATCTAATGATTATTACAAGAAATCAAATAATTATTGTAACAGCGTTTGACAGTTGTTTTCGTTATGCAGTAAGACATCTTACATACGTTCAAAATATGTATTGCTTTATTTCCAAACATTTCTGATTCTTTTGCTACTAAAATCAATAAACTCCCATACGCCAGCGGATAAGCTGACCAACTAGATATAGCACACACACCATCCAAATCCGCCTATAAAACTTTATTTGGACCAAGCCTATCACGGGCCAAATCAGCAGGCTTGATCTGTCAGATTAGATTCGTCTTAAAAACGATCGAAGGATAAAATAGGGGGAGGGGGTTATAACGCTCTTTCTTTCTAAGTAAAAATGCCGGCAGTTTATATTCCGATAAATGTGTATATCTATAAGTGATGGGAATACCGGTTCCACAGCAGTCGCGTTACAATAGCGACCGTTCCAGAGAAATACCGCGATTGTGTAACGTGTAACCGAGGCTCCGGCTTCCAAAGTGTTGCTGTTCCCACCTATGCGGTATTTCTGGTGACTGTACTACCCATATCCCTGCCATTATCTCTGTGTACGTGCAAATTCATAAAGAATAACAATTCATAAACCCCAAATTTCTAAGCAATAAACAACATGCAGCTAGCCATCTGCATGTTTTGTGTTAGACGCGTTTTGATTGCGTTGGTTAGTCTTTGGGGTAAGTTTTTTTTTGTTTAAATTGCACGCGAAATACTCGACCCATCGTTAAATTCCTCTCATCAGGTAATGAAAGGTGCAATATCGGCCCTAGCGGTTCTTAATATACGAATCTAGCGGGTATCCTTCTTCCATCGACCTTCCAGAGTTGGCAACCCTGCTCGTGCGCTCCAGCAGTCGCGCGACTTTTTGCACTGGAGCGAAACACGTCGCGGTATAGGTCGTTACCAGTTACATCTCTTCGCGTCAGACAAAACAATTGACTCTAGAAGCGCGACGGCTTGAACGAAACACGTCGCGATCGAGGTCGCGCGTCGATACGTAGTTCAATTACTACTGTTCGCGACCATGGTAGCGCGACGGCTGGAGCGAAACACGTCGCTATGCGGTTACTGCGGTTTGAGCTAACTACAAGAGCGATTTTAAATAATTTATTTGCAAATTATCCTTAATTTATAGTTTCGTTGTTATTATGATCGTCGTTCTTCAGTAACAGGTTCCTGATTCGTTGTTGAGCGCGACACGACATTACAACAAAATACCGCTCCAAAATCGCGTTACTCAAATACCGACACATCACTAATATCTATATAAAAAAGGTATAAAACGCCGAGCTTCCTGGTCCGCTGGTGTATGGGGTGCTAGTGAGATAATACATTCCCCGACTCCTCAGATATACAGGGTCCGGCAATAGTGCGTCGGGCATCTGTAGCTCCTAGAATAAAAAAAATGAGAATTTTGTTTAAGTGCAAACCTAAAGTATGTACCAGGATGTATTTCAGGAAAATATTTTAACTTCTATAGGGTGGCTCAAAAAAGTGTGAGTGGACCTGGATGATTTTTTTTGAAATGGAACACCCTGTATATTATTGAATTTTTGGCTTCCTTTCAGATCACTTTACATAATCCTAAGATATGAATAAATATATTTTGATAATTTCAGAGATATTAAAAAATAAATCAAAAATATATATTTTTCAGCCCTTCTAAAAAAAATTATTAAAAATACAAGAACTGTTCTGAAATCAAAACTATATTAGGTATTTACTTTAGATGGTCTGTACTTACTTTGCAATAAATATGAAAATCGTAAGTTATACAGGATGTTCAAAACTCTACGCCAAACTTTCTAAAATATAAAATAATTTTTCTTCGTTTTTTTAAATGGAACACCCTGTATATTATTTTTTCAATAGACAGAGAATTAAAAAATGAACTTTTTTTGTATTTGGAGTATTTTAAAATTTTTAACGGTTTCGTTGGATGGCATTTTCCATAGTAAATTTTTATCAAAGCCACCCAATGATTTTTCTCGCGTATTTTACCATTGAAAGCGCCATATGAAATAATACTGCGTATATCTGCGAAACCGTTAAAAATTTTGAAATACTCTGAATACAAAAAATGTTCATTTTTTTACTCTCCATCTAATAAAAAAATAATATACAGGGATTTGATTTATTTTTTAATATCTCTGAAACTATCGAAATATATTTATTCATATCTTAGGGTTATGTAAAGTGATCTAAAAGGAAGCCAAAAATGCAATAATATACAGGGTGTTCCATTTAAAAAAAATCATCCAGGTCCACTCTATTTAAAAAAACAAAGAAAAAATATTTTATATTTTAGAAAGTTTGGCGTGGAATATTGAACATCCTGTATGATTTACGATTAACATAATTATAGCAAAGTAAGAACAGACCATCTAAAGTAAATATCTAATATAGTTTTGATTTCAGAGCAGTTCTTTTATTTTTAATATTTTTTTTTAAGAAGGGCTGAAAATATATATATTTTTGATTTATTTTTTAATATCTCTGAAACTATCGAAATATATTTATTCATATCTTAGGGTTATGTAAAGTGATCTAAAAGGAAGCCAAAAATGCAATAATATACAGGGTGTTCCATTTAAAAAAAATCATCCAGGTCCACTCACACTTTTTTGAGCCACCCTATAGAAGTTAAAATATTTTCCTGAAATACATCCTAGTACATATTTTAGGTTTGCACTTAAACAAAATTCTCAAGTTTTTTATTCTAGGAGCTATAGATGCCGGACGCACTATTGCCGGACCCGGTATTTAAAGAAGTACTTTATATTTACACTACACTTTACTCTACAATTATAGTATTGAATAAATACAAAAGACTAAGCGTACAACGTAATCGGACATATCAATGCGATGCTCGCCGCGATATGCATCCTACGCGCATGTTTTAGACACTGTTTTAAAACAGCGAGTAAGTGCGCGTAAGATGCATCGCGGCGAGCATCGCATCGAGATGCCTCACTATGTTTGTACTCTAAGAAATAAAATTTCACTAAGTCAAAACGGTACAAAAAAATCCATAAAATATGTATGTTACATATACCTACCTAATTATTCATATCACCAAGTTATACCTTAAAATTTGTTAACATTAAACTTCTTTATTATCGTCTCATACGATTATTGTAATATATCTTGCAACTAAGCAAGGTGTTAATGTTATCTTCTAATTTACCTTTTATAATATATTATTAAGTAACTTAAATTCAGTCAATAATTTATTGTAGCTTAATTACCGCATTTGATTTTTATAAAAACTTAAAAATTACAAATCTATCAAAATGTTTCTGACTATGTATATATTTATTTCTTTATTGTATAGGCATATCAGCAGTTATTCTAAAAATGTAATAAATATATTTTGCCTTGTAAAATTTATATGCAATGAATAAAATTTTATGAGATTATATATTTCTTTTTATTATTAAACTAGTTGAAGCCTGGCGCATCCGCCACGACATGCGACAGGAAAAAAATATATTTTTTTTTTAATTAAATGAAAAACAAAAAATCCGGCCAGGACAGTTTTTAGAAGAGCCAATTAGCTATCTTTTGGTAAAAAAAGCAACTTTCTAGAGCAAGTCGTTACTTCAGTAGAGATGACACAGATAAACATTAGCATTTTATATATGTAGATTACACCTTATCAAAAAAATAGAATGTAAAAAAATGACGCCGAAAAATGAAAACAAAGTCTTGCAACACAATTAAGGTTGATTCTCACTATACCTTCCGTTTCCATTCCATATCCATTCCATATCCGTTCCGTATTTTTTATTGTATTGAAGCTATACGTAAAGGTTGATTCTCACTATACCTTCCATATCAGATCCCTTCCTTTTCCTCTCCGTTTACATAAAATATTATGTCATGTAAATGAATAGGACAATGCACTCTCCGTTCCATTTCCTTTCCGTTCCATATCTTTTCCTTCCATACATTTTTTGGCGGACGGACTGAAGCGTATCGGAAACAGCGTTGCCAAGTTCTTACATTTGTACCAGCTCTGTTAAAATTTTGCTGATATTTATTAATTTTTTCACTTCTTAATTAAATCTATTATCTTTTTCAAAAGATACAAATTTTTAAAATAAAACTTTTGTAATGATATAAATTGTACAATAAAAAGTATGGAACTCATACGGAACGGAAGCTTAAGGTTGATTCTCACTATACCTTCCATATCAGATCCCTTCCTTTTCCTTTCCGTTTACATAAAATATTATGTCATGTAAATGAATAGGACAATGCACTCTCCGTTCCATTTCCCTTCCGTTCCATATCTTTTCCTTCCATACATTTTTGGCGGACGGACTGAAGCGTATCGGAAACAGCGTTGCCAAGTTCTTACATTTGTACCAGCTCTGTTAAAATTTTGCTGATATTTATTAATTTTTCACTTCTTAATTAAATCTATTATCTTTTCCAAAAGATACAAATTTTTAAATAAAACTTTTGTAATGATATAAATTGTACAATAAAAAGTATGGAACTCATACGGAACGGAAGCTTAAGGTTGATTCTCTATACCTTCCATATCAGATCCCTTCCTTTTCCTTTCCGTTTACATAAAATATTATGTCATGTAAATGAATAGGACAATGCACTCTCCGTTCCATTTCCCTTCCGTTCCATATCTTTTCCTTCCATACATTTTTGGCGGACGGACTGAAGCGTATCGGAAACAGCGTTGCCAAGTTCTTACATTTGTACCAGCTCTGTTAAAATTTTGCTGATATTTATTAATTTGTTCACTTCTTAATTAAATCTATTATCTTTTCCAAAAGATACAAATTTTTAAAATAAAACTTTTTGTAATGATATAAATTGTACAATAAAAGTATGGAACTCATACGGAACGGAAGCTTAAGGTTGATTCTCACTATACCTTCCATATCAGATCCCTTCCTTTTCCTTTCCGTTTACATAAAATATTATGTCATGTAAATGAATAGGACAATGCACTCTCCGTTCCATTTCCCTTCCGTTCCATATCTTTTCCTTCCATACATTTTTTGGCGGACGGACTGAAGCGTATCGGAAACAGCGTTGCCAAGTTCTTACATTTGTACCAGCTCTGTTAAAATTTTGCTGATATTTATTAATTTGTTCACTTCTTAATTAAATCTATTATCTTTTTCAAAAGATACAAATTTTTAAAATAAAACTTTTGTAATGATATAAATTGTACAATAAAAAGTATGGAACTCATACGGAACGGAAGCTTAAGGTTGATTCTCACTATACCTTCCATATCAGATCCCTTCCTTTTTCCTTTCCGTTTACATAAAATATTATGTCATGTAAATGAATAGGACAATGCACTCTCCGTTCCATTTCCCTTCCGTTCCATATCTTTTCCTTCCATACATTTTTTGGCGGACGGACTGAAGCGTATCGGAAACAGCGTTGCCAAGTTCTTACATTTGTACCAGCTCTGTTAAAATTTTGCTGATATTTATTAATTTTTCACTTCTTAATTAAATCTATTATCTTTTTCAAAAGATACAAATTTTTAAAATAAAACTTTTGTAATGATATAAATTGTACAATAAAAAGTATGGAACTCATACGGAACGGAAGCTTAAGGTTGATTCTCACTATACCTTCCATATCAGATCCCTTCCTTTTCCTTTCCGTTTACATAAAATATTATGTCATGTAAATGAATAGGACAATGCACTCTCCGTTCCATTTCCCTTCCGTTCCATATCTTTTCCTTCCATACATTTTTTGGCGGACGGACTGAAGCGTATCGGAAACAGCGTTGCCAAGTTCTTACATTTGTACCAGCTCTGTTAAAATTTTGCTGATATTTATTAATTTGTTCACTTCTTAATTAAATCTATTATCTTTTCAAAAGATACAAATTTTAAAATAAAACTTTTGTAATGATATAAATTGTACAATAAAAAGTATGGAACTCATACGGAACGGAAGCTTAAGGTTGATTCTCACTATACCTTCCATATCAGATCCCTTCCTTTTCCTTTCTGTTTACATAAAATATTATGTCATGTAAATGAATAGGACAATGCACTCTCCGTTCCATTTCCCTTCCGTTCCATATCTTTTCCTTCCATACATTTTTTGGCGGACGGACTGAAGCGTATCGGAAACAGCGTTGCCAAGTTCTTACATTTGTACCAGCTCTGTTAAAATTTTGCTGATATTTATTAATTTTTTCACTTCTTAATTAAATCTTAGGGTTATGTAAAGTGATCTAAAAGGAAGCCAAAAATGCAATAATATACAGGGTGTTCCATTTAAAAAAAATCATCCAGGTCCACTCACACTTTTTTGAGCCACCCTATAGAAGTTAAAATATTTTCCTGAAATACATCCTAGTACATATTTTAGGTTTGCACTTAAACAAAATTCTCAAGTTTTTTATTCTAG